TCTCAAGTCTCGTGACAAATGCGTCAAAGCGGCAAAGGAGCACTTGAACAGTGGCACCTCCGTCGTTATAGGTAGGACGGACTTTCCCCGCTAATTCCTTTGCTGCTTATTTCTAACTGCTCGGACTAGACAATACTAATGCCGACCCTGACACACGCGCGGTGTGGGTGGACCTAGCTCGGGGGTTCAAACTGCCCATTCGGTGTGTTTATTTCAAGACTCCGCTCGTGGTTTGCGAACACAACGACGCCGTGCGGTCACTGAATACGTCGCTGAACCCCGAGCAAAGGGAAGTGTTACCAAAACTTGCGTTCACTGGCTTTGCTTCACGGCACAAGCCTCCGCAAGTAAAGGAGGGCTTCCAAGATGTGATCGAAGTCGACTTCACGTTTCGTGGAGAGAGGCAAGACTTTGAAATATGGGCCAAATATTGGATCTGAGATGCATCTCCCACCAAAGATGGGACTTGTAATAGCTTGGACCACACATTTCAGACCGGAAAGCACCGTTAGATTACTTTCTATTTCAAGATGAGACCATTAACACGGACTAGAGAGGATAGCTTGCGCGGCATGATGCATAATGCCCAACATTCGAGTGGCTGGATGCAACTCTACTCCATCAGCCTTGAGGCCGCCAACGACCTCGTGTCGCGTGCGTCGGTATTACGCTCGGTGTTCGTCGGAGATCTCTACTTCATCCGGTGCTTTTCGGTGGTTCTCATGTGTGTGAGCGGCGGTAGCCCGACAAGGTCTGTCGCGTGGGATGGAGAGAGAGCCTCTCCCGACACGACTGCTCCACTACCGGCACCCATGAGGCTGTAGGTCGAACTCGGACCACATCTCGATCATAACGAGTATTATCGACCATCACGACAGGAAAATCATAGAAGAATCACGACCTTAATAGATATCCGAACACAGGCACTTCTTGTCATCCTCTCCTTGCCCCCCCCTCTTCATTTTTCCAATATTCTGGTTATTCTTGATGCACACATGATTCAGACTGTTTCTCCGAAGTGACGCTGGACGGAGCTGAATTTATGGGTCCCGGCAGGGGATCCCCGGCCTTGGCGTCTGTCTAAGTGCCGACTTTCCGAACGACATGAGAAAAAGCTCAGTTCAACAGCACAGTTTGTGGAGAGAATGCGGCTGCGAGAATTTCCCTCGCTGGGGAATTCTCGTGGTGGGTGTTGTGACCATGCTGGAAAGGGCTATTTGCCAGCAGATCTTGTTCAGATCAGCGCAAGCGAGCAAGACCTGACATCAAGCTTATTACCAATGGCTTTTCGGTGACCCCATCAGTTCTGCGGGCTTTCTCCGCCACATGCCCACCCGTGTTACCCCCAATTTCAAAGACACTGGTCAGCAGTAATACCTGTGGTGGTTGAGAAAGGCGACATCTCTTCCCTCGCTCTTCGGATCCGAGAGTGTCTTGATTGATGTTGATGGGCTCTCGTGAGCGGCGGACGCGTGCTCGTCATGTTCAAAGCCATTGCCATTAGTGCCCGTGATCCCAGCAGCGGTCTAAGCAATTAAACTTAAAGCTGACGGGTCGACATCGACCCCAACGGACTTTGACCGAGACCCCTCAGTTCCCCAGTGCATTTCAATGCGAAGGCTCTGATTTGGTTGCCTCTGAGTGGAGCAAACCGTCTGATTCATGGCAATTTTTTTTGGCCTCCGAGACCCACGAAATTAGCTGTTTTCAACCCCGCCTAGACTTTGGGGAAACAATCGCTCCGGGGAGGTTCTGGATCTTAGTCACGGCTGCGTTGATTGGCCCGTTCTGGAGGATTTCGCGGATTACTGGGGTTTTCCGACAGTCTCCCCGTGGAGAAGTAGGCTCCTGAGTTTGATGATCCTACGTCCGCTCGGCTACCATCACCGCACCTTCCAAGACACGAATGGATTTGGGTAGTGAATTGGAAAGGGAGGGGTGGGGGTCAACTTCCCCAACCATTCTCTTTCTCAAAGTATAAAGGGCACAGGATCCGTGTCCCAAGATCACCGTTTTACTCGTCTCATTCACCCTTCTTCCCCTCACGACTCCGCATTTCCCCTCACCCCCTCATTTCTACCATCAGGGTGATCTGTCTCACAAGTCCGGTTTCTTCAGCGGCGGTATAGATCTCGCTCTTGATCTTCCATCATGGCTGGTGGTGTCAAGAAGCCCGTCAACGTTTTCAAGTTGAAGGACCTCGGCGAGCCCGAGGGAGTCTTCAATTGGAGACTATGGTTCGCCGTCATTTCCTTCGGCCTCTTGGGTGCGGCCCGTGGTGTTGATGAAGGCCTCATCTCTGGTGCTTTCAACTCTACTGATTTCAAGGAAGCCATCGATTACAACTCATACAACGACGTTGACAAGGCCAACATCAAGGCCAATGTCTCCGCCATGGTTCAAATCGGCTCCGTCGCCGGTGCTCTCATGTATGATGACAAGCCGTCAATACTTCTCAGAAATTCGTTGCTAACATGTTTTCCAGTGCTTTCGTAGTCTGTGACAGAATTGGTCGTATCTGGGCCACTCGCTTCCTCTGTATCCTTTGGGCCATTGGTATCATTATCTTCATGGTTGGAGGTATTAACGGTAACCTTGGAGCTATCTACGCTGGACGTTTCATCGCCGGTCTTGGTGTTGGACAAACACCCGTCGTTGGGTATGTCCCCCGTCAGCATAATTGCCCCCTTGAGTCGTTCCCGCTAATTCTTGACCTTCAAATAGACCTGTGTATATCGCTGAGGTCGCACCGGCTGCTATTCGTGGTCTGTGCACGTGTTTCTTCACTGGAGCGGTGTATCTTGGTATCGTGCTCGCCTACTTCACCAACTACGGTGCCCACATCAACATTGACAACCACAGCCACAACCAATGGCTTGTCCCCACCAGCTTGCACATCATGTTCTCTGGAATTGCCTTTATTTTGACATTTTTCCAATATGAATCGCCGCGTTTCCTCGTCAAGCAGGGCAAGACCGAGCAGGCTACTGAGGTCTTGGCTAAACTCCGAAAACAAGACCCCAACAGCGACTACATCACAAACAACATCGCCGCCATCCAGGCTGCCCATGAGCATGAGCTTGAGGCCTCCCAGGGTGTTGGTGTTCTTGGCAAGTTGAAGGAGATGTTCCTGGACAAGGGTAACCTGTACCGTCTGTACCTCTCTACCATGGTCCAATTCCTCAGTCAGTGGAGTGGTGCTGGATCTGTAAGTTGACCTCGCCTGCAATTGCTTGGTGAATTGGGCTAATCATGTGTAATATTGTACAGATCACCCTCTATGCTCCCGACTTGTTCAAGCTTATTGGTATTACCGGTAGCGAGGAGGGTCTACTTGTTACCGCCATCTTTGGTATTGTCAAGCTCATCGCCGCCATTGGATGCGCCCTCTTCCTTGTGGATGTGATTGGTCGCAAGCGCGCACTGCTCACTGGTATCACCCTCCAAGCCATCTCCATGATTTACGTGGCGGCTTTCCTGACTTCGGTCCCCGAGCTGGGAATTGTCGATGGTTTCGTCCTCCCCGACAAAGACAAGGCTGCCAGCCGAGGTGCTATTGCCATGATCTACGTCTCTGGATTCGGTTGGGCTCTGGGCTGGAACTCTATGCAGTACCTGCTCACTGCTGAGCTGTTCCCTCTCCGAATCCGTGCCCTCGCTACCTCGTGGGCCATGACCCTGCACTTTGCCAACCAGTACGGAAACTCGCGTGCTGTGCCAAACATGCTTCTCTCCACTACAGACGGAGGTATCACCCCCAAGGGAACCTTCTGGTGCTTCGCCGCCGTCACCATTGTGGGTGGTATCTGGGTCTTCCTCTCCGTGCCTGAGACTAGCGGTCGCTCCCTCGAGAGCATGGATGCTCTCTTTGAGCTGCCCTGGTACAGAATCGGTCTGTATGGTAACAAGGATGCAGATGAGAAGGAAGTTGCTTTTACTGAGAAGCAGAGGACTGCTGAGGAGCAGTATGGGCAGACCACCCAGATCGAGGAGAAGCGACCTGCAAATGTTTGAAAGACATGAGGGAATGAATGGGTTAGCCTCGAAGTGGGCTTTAGGTGAATTGGATGAAAATTCCAATGATTGGTTACTTGGAACCTTGATAGTGTCTCCGTGATTTTCACAACGGGATGAGACTAAATAACGAATTTTATGATGAATATTAAAATTTGATTATTTCTAAAATCTTGATCAAAGGATATGGTTGTGCCTTGAGTGGACGTAGGAGGTCTGATTTACCGGTTCACAGCCATATTATTGATCGCATTCATTATCTCATGGCAAACGATAGCATTTCTTCTTTTCACCGACTTGTTGCCGGTCAATATCCTTGTCAAGTTGCACGCATATAATGTTCAGTTTATCGCTTTGGTATAAGACTTTGGCGAAGGCTAACAAATTTTGCAGGTCTAGAAGTATGTCGTGGGTGACACAGGAAATAAAGACCCGAATAACCACCCAAATAATCACCCAAATAAATCTAAATAAGCAGCTTATTCTAAATAGACATTAGAGAATATCAATATTTAAACCTGGATATTCTTCTGCTTTGATCTTATTTTAGTAATTCTATAGTTAGCTATGAAAGATAATACGTAGCAAATGAGAGAGTTACACAGTTATGCGGCAGCTATTAAAAAAAGGGGAAATTCCCAAACACCAAGAATTGAACAACTTGATACTATGCCTACCTATTATCACAATACATCAAACATTAGGCTTTTTGTCCAGTTGCGAGGCTTGCGCCCGGCCATACATAAGGTTAAACATCAACAATGGCTTTGCCCGGCAATGACTCTTTCGTCGGCATGACTCCTTTCACGAACCTTAAAATGCTGCTTTCCATCTATTTGAAGGCCGCCATCCCCGGCCTGAATGAACCGCAAAGCTCAAATCCACATCGACAATCCGCCTATTTCACAAATCACTGCCTTCGCCGCTCCATCAGTCTACCAAACACCAAATCTTTGACGTTTTTGCGCTTCAAGAATCACTTCAAGATGCAAGAACCAACGGCGATCGCGCCAAGCACACCAGTCACAACAAGCACTCAAGAGCAAGAACCAACGCCAGTCGCACCAAGTACTGAAGAGCAGTGTTTCTACTTTGATGGCCTTCCTAGCAACCCCAAGCTTGTTGCGCGCTCCAGCTCCCTCGACATCAAGTGGGGACGTGGGAATGGCGGCACCGTTTGGGGGTCTAAAAAGCGTCTTTACCCAGCATCACCCACTCACCCGATCGCATCTCTTTGGGGCGGGACTTTGCGCCGAAAGATCATCAATGCCCTTGATGGCTCTGGTGGCCTTGATTGGACAGCGATCGATATTGTGAGGATAGGCCTGGATCCCAGCTGGGACCGCCCTGATGAAGTCCCTGAAAAACATCATGTGCTTCTCGTTTCTGTCGCTTCCAACAGTACAACATGGGAACAAGGATACCCAGTAGCTATACGCTGCAGAAGAATCTTGCAGCAATATGGTATTCATGATGTGCACTGCGAAATCAAAGAGTTTGACATCATAAGATCTTAAGCATTCAGAAATCGCTGCACTCAAGTCCACTCTGCTCACAGATAAAAGAAAGGCCTACATTGAAAAAACGTGAGACTAGGATGGCATTTACTCTGAGAGCATCACCCCACCGGAATCCCGCATCATTGGACAAATCCTCTATGCCCCGCAGTTCAGTTCAGGAGCATCCCCATCAGGTCAGACCCGGTCAAGAGGTTGGGCTCTGATTGAACTACACCCCGGCAAGCACCAATCGAAGCTTTTGGAACTCCGAAATATAGTTACCCTGACTGATTGGGACACTTGCTTGTTGAGACAAAGAACTTTCAAGGAAACACCTGGCTTTCGGCTTTCCCTTTACACACTATTAGAGTCAACAAGACTGACCAAAGTTCTGTCTGAGCATGAGATTTAGCACCCTACGACTTTGGATAAGAATGGTGATCGTCGGCTTGTTGTCGCAAAGGTTGGGCGTACAACCGATTTTACTGTTGGAGTTTCTAACCCGGTCAAATCTGTCACCCGAGAAGTGATTGATGGGCAAGTGGTCATTAGTGAAGAATGGTGTATTGTGGGACTAAAACCGGATGTGAAGGAGAAAGGAAATTTGGGCTTTTCTGCAGGTGGCGATTCAGGGTCGTGTATTTGGGATATGTCGGGACGTATTGCTGGTATCTTGACTAGTGGGCCGACGAATGGTCATGTCAACGATGTCACGTATGCTACGCCGATCGAGTGGATTCTGGAGGATATTCGTGTCCAGACTGGATTTGAAGTAGAGTTGGTGTAAAATTGAATGGTTCCGACGTTCACAGCATCTACAATAATACGTCCCAGTCGAGTACCTATTGTTTGTATATGCAGGGTATTGTTTGTACTTGCAAAGTATTGTTTCTATGCGCAGAACTCCGTCATCCTGCACAATGGCATTCTTCCTTTGAAAGTCATTGTGGGTGAAGATGGGAGTGCCATCGCTGCGAAGGACGGTTGGCAGGACATGTTGGTAATACTGAGTCTTGTGGGCCGCACGTTCGCCGATCTCGAGGAGTACATTCAAATGATCCAGTCCGTCAGCTCGTCCTCGGTAGCAAACGATCCCTTGATCTCGTTGGCACCCTGTGTCGCCGAAAATATATCGTCGAGTGGCGGTCCGCCGTTGATGTTGCCGAAAAAAACCAGGGTGCTCTAGCTGCCGAAGCTGATCGAAGTATGTCCGAAGAGTCTTGGCGATGGAGGTTTTACGAGCTTGGTCGAGGCTACCCCACAAATCCATGAGTGTGGTGCCCTGCACATATTGCATGAGAATATATGTGACTGTGCTCTGCTTCTCACGGCGTTGGTAGATGGCGTAGACCTTGGGAACTGGCACCGTTGTGGATTTTGCCACGTATAGCATGTTCTGGGCCTCTATAGGTCGCACATCGGCGCCGAACTTCATAACAAACCTCTGCTGTATTCTGACGAGGCGAGCACTGCTAAGTCTATTGGGCAAGACTTCAGAGCCGTCTATGTCGTTTGGAGTCGGCAGCGGAGTAGGACAGTTCTGGGACCGGTCTATGAATAGGATATCATATAAAGCTGCTTCAGACATGACGGATCTTACGCTTGGTGGCAATGACACTATTGGCGACCAAGAAAGCGCATGTTGGTTATCTACTAGACGAGAAGAGGGGGGTTGTAGGAGAAAGAATGGAGGGTCGCTGGCGATTACTGTTAGATTGAGCCTTCTTGACTATGGATTTTCCATCCACCTCATTCTGTTCAGGAAACGCAAAACAACTTGATTAATCCCTAGGTATTTATTGTACTTGGATGCAGCTATGCCTAGCGGAGTCCTTGACTAACTGAAGCGCTGAAAATGTTGCGACGCCGCTGAAAAGCCTTCCATGCTCCTCCTACCTTATGTACAACCGTTACGTATCAAAGACCTGCTACTTGAACCCGGCCTGTCAATGGGCCTGTGTCGGCGACATAAATTTTATGACAAATATTGAAATTTGATTATTTCTAACCATCTTAATCAAATGGATGTAGTTGTGCCTAGAGTGGACGTCAAGTGATATTTGGAATGATATCATTATCTGACATTCTTTCACACAAATGTGATGAATACAAGAAAATCAGTGAAGCAAGGAGCTAGACATGCAAATGCACACCCAAATAAACACCCAAACAAACACCTAAATAAATAACCAAACAAACCACTAAATAAACACCCCAATGTCTAAATAAGTAGCCAATGGAAAGAGATAGTCATGGTAATATTCATGAGGGATCGCGAAAAACGCCCAGTGTGGCGGTGGGGTGGCTGTGTGTCACCCATCGCATCAGCTCTGCATCGAGACCGGGACTCGACTGGCGGCTAGACGCTTAGGCCCCTCGAGTGGCGGCGGCTGGAAGCGCATTTGTGGCAGCTGATTATTTAATCTGGATACTTTGGGTTAGATGGACGGTAGCATTGTCGATGGACGAGCTGCATAAAGCCCAACCGCCTGCCCAAGCCCTTCCGTGCCCAGATTCGCCGGCCGGTAGAAGACGCTGAAGCGGATAGAAGAGCCAGATTAAAGATCCTCGCGGGGCTCTCATTCCCATCATGGATCCAATCACCGTTTTCGCGATCCTCGAGAACTGCTACAAGTAAGTGGGTGTATTTTCCCTGGGTCGAATTGCGGGGTAGAAACCTCCCGCTCATCCACAGGACGGCACATGTTCTAACAATTTCTAGATACGGTGAGTGGATTGTCGTCTTCTGTGAATCGTGCAAACATGCAGATCAAGAGCTCGCCGACAGGGCGCGCAAGGTGGAGAGCGTCTGGATCAGAATGAAGGAGCAGGCCCAGTTCATGGAGCGCATCGAGCCCGTGATGAAGCCCGAGCTGAGGTACGACTTCAAGGAGAGCCTCAAGGTCCTAGAGAGGAAGCTGTCCGTCGCCAATGCCAACATACAGGCCGTGCAGCAGCACGAGATCGCCCTGGGCCCGGGTGGCAAGAAGAAGATCTTCCAGTTCCAGCGGTGGGCCAGGAAGGGCAAGTTCGCCTGGGAGAAGGAGACCTTAGATGAGATCATCACAGATCTGGATGACTGGCGCGACCGTTTCGACCCGACGTGGTATCTGACGATGCTGAATGCGAACCCTAAGATCGATGAGGAGCTGCGCAAGGCTGGCCTACAAGCTAGTCACCAAGCTCACCATGCCCGCAGTGCCTCTAGAGGGGTTGACTCGAGAGATGGCTCGTTCCCGCCGTCGCCTACGAGGACGCCGCCGCCCAGCTACTCGTCGGAAACTCCCTCCCCTCGAGGTTTGCAGAGGAACTTGAGCTGGGATGTGCCGACCCCGTTGGCGCTGGCCGGCGGTATTCGAGAAGCCGTTCGCCCCAAGGACAGCACCAACGCGTCGGTGTTTCTCGCCGAGAGAGAAATGGAAACACTGTCCATTCCATACAGCTCGGCAAAGCTCGCCAAATTCCCCACGTCGAGGAGCGGTATGTCGATGATTCTGGTCAAGGTCGACATTTCCAACGGTGTGAGCAAGGCCGACAAGACCGAGGACGTGCGGGATCTGGCTCGCAGGTTGAAGAACGCCAACCCGTACGCCTTCGGTCTGCTCAAGTGCACGGGCGCCATCAAGATATTCCACAGGTCGCCCGAGAGGCGGGAGAAGTGGCTGACGGGGATCGACATCGTCTTCGAGACCCCCAAGAACACGGATGCTCGCCAAATGCACAGTCTTCGAGAGCTCCTGGTCAAGGCGAATCAGGCAGGCGAGGAGCTGACCCTGACGCGGCGCGTGCAGGTCGCAAAGGAGTTGACGCAGGCCGTCAACTACGTCCACACCTTTGACTTTGTGCACAAGAACATATGCCCAGAATCCGTGCTCGTCGTTGATAACGACGATGCCTTGACCTCGAGACGTCGACGGTCTACGTTCCTCGTCGGTTTCGAGTGTTTCCGATCCTCGGACGGCAACACCGTCATGAGGAGCGACACGGCCTGGGAGCGCAACATTTACCGCCACCCCTCGCGACAGGGGTTCAACGTCACCGAGAAGTACAGAATGCAGCACGATATCTACAGCTTGGGAGTCTGCCTGTTTGAGATCGGGCTGTGCGAGTCCCTCCTGACATTCGCCGACGTCCCGGGACCGCTGAAGCCCGAGTTCGGCCCTATCATCCAGGAGTTCCTGGAATGGTACACCAAGACCACCGGTAGGGAGCTTTCCAACGCCTACCAGTTCCACACTGCCGGCCCAAAGTTCAAGGAATTCCTGATTGAGTACGCCAAGACGCGGCTCCCCAAGAAGATGGGCGAGAGATACACGCAGGTCGTCCTGTCGTGCCTCACCTGCCTGGACGAAGGCAACGACAGCTTTGGGGACCTGGCAGGCGACGACGACGAGTATGATGACGAGGAGGACGGATCTACCATCGGCTTCCGCTTCATCAAACAGATTCTTACGAAGCTGAATGAAATCAAGCTGTAGCTTACCCTGGGGAAGTTTGAGTTGCGAGGAATGGGACATCATTCTGGGAGGAACATCGGTTTATGGCACGGGAAAGGTACTCATGACTCAGGGTGTTGCTTTTCATGGCGTTATTTGGATATCAACTTTCTGGTAAAATCACGATTTTTTCGGCTCGATCTTCGTCGACTACGGCAGATGCTAGACTCTTGCCGGCGGGTTAGCTTGTGTAAAATAATTCAATATAAGCGTATTTCTTTCTCTATTCTGAAATTGGAAACCTTCTTGAAGATGATCGGCGAAGCAGACCGCCCATCAAGGCCTTTCCGCCCGGTTTCTACGTCCATGAGCGCCCGTATAATTGGGTCAGATGAGCATAAATCCATTTGTGCACTTAGTCCAAGAGACGGCTGATCAGGCAGCAGGATTCTTGAGGCAGTGGGCGTCCATTAGGGGTTTTTGGCGCTCAATCGATTACTTGTATTGTGGAGGTTCCAAGGCCCCTTTGAAGCCGGAATCCTGCGTTGACCTGAGTCTGGAGTATGACCGCTATGGGCAAGACTGGGCCTTTGATGCCAATTTAGAGCCTTCGAAAACCGAGGAGAAGAAGACATCGGAGCTTCATATAGCCAAGATCTCTCATAGATTGGTCGATGATGAGGATCTGCCAGATGTTATCAAAGGGCTGACAATCCCTAAAGAGGAACTTGATATACAGTTGTACTACACATTTAAATTGCAAGGCAATGAGAAACAGGCAATCTTTTCCCTATCAATAAAAGTTCGCGACTTCAACATCACAGTCGCACAAATCCGCTCAGTGGCAGCAGCCGCAAAAGCATCTCAAGCCTTGGCCAATCCCAACGTTGTGGCCGACGGAGATGGAAGCGGCCCAGTCCGCTTACTGTGCTTCACACTCTATCAACTTGGTGGAACGCAAAATATACCAGTTATTGGGGTGGTTCCTCAACCATTCGATCAGCTTGGTATAGCGTGGACCAACCGTGACACCTCTGCGGCTGAGTTGACTTTGCTGAACAAGGAGGTTTTCAATAGCGATCCCACAACCAGATCTGATCCGCCTCTCATTACAAAGTAAGACGGCAAAAAGGACAGTGACAATGCCTAAACTCCATTCCTATTCTTCCAGTTTAGAAAGTTGCCATGGTACTCATTACCAATGCCACCCGTAAGTCTGTAACCAAGACTCCCCATCAGCAACAAGTAGTCTGTGGAGTTCTGTGAGTTCAAAGCGACAGCCTAGATTTTGCAAGTTAGTACCAGTACTTGATTGATGTCATGCTGTAATATTTGGGGTCTTACCCTGGGAGCAGATGTTGCTCCTTGGAGCGCTTCCCGGAGGCCATTGTAGTTGCCTTTCAAATCCCAGCTCCATCTATTACCGTGAACAATGACATACGACTCATCCATCCCGAGAGCAACTGCTGTGATTCCCTGATTCATTACCTCTTGGATCTTGTTTGTTATTGACGTCGGAACCTTCCACCAATTATAGTTATCCCATTTGGAGTAGAACGTCTGATTAGGTCCTAAGCTAATGAGAAGAGGTTCGCGGCTTGGCATTTCGTTCCGCAACTTATCTAATAGAAATGGATATTCTGTGCTCAAGTTTCCACTCCACTCTGCGATGTATTAGGAAGGTCTTACAGGTCCTAGATCACTTATCCAGAGTTGACGTGTGGGATACTTACTAACATAGTAACCCCCTGCCGCGGTTCGATACTTGTATATCCATGAGCCGCTATTATGTATTAGCATCATCTGTCATGGGAACGCTGACTTATTGATCCAGCTGGAAGGTATTCTGTCTTACTTTGTTCCACACACTAAGAAGCAGAGAGCATTAAGATGGTTTTTGATCGCCGCGTAATAATCACCCATACAGTTCCTTTAATGGTCAGTGAAGGTGGTTAACAATTTGCCTCTCGCCATGTACCTACTGATAATTGTACTCCGGACCATCCAGGGCAAAGTATGAACCGCATAGAGACAGGGAGAACTGCGGCCCCTTCTGAAGTGAAGTTGCCGGGGTTGGATCTGACGATGCAAGACTTAAAAGCTGTTGAGACTTTGCGCTTGATGTCTCCAGCACTTGGTGCTTCTTGTCCTCCCTTTTTTGCTCTTCGAGTTTCTTTTCTACTTTCTCAAGCCTCTCGGCCCCGGCAAGTTCAAAGTTAAGCCTGCGCCATGCAGATCTCTTACCCTCACCGTATGCGTTTATAATAAAGGTGTCAAGGATACCCATTTGCGAGTACACCTCGTCCTCTTCCTTTTTCGTCTGCCGGTTGCCATACCAGGAACATCGTTCTTGGATGCTGTACGCGGATACCGATGTCCCACCCCCACGTAGCACATCCTTTGGAATGCCTGTGACTTCACGGATTATCTTCTGCAACGAGCCTCCCTTGCTCCCTAGACGCACGCCATCAGAGAAGAAGAAAGTTACGCTATCAGGTGCGATCAGCTCCTGCAACGTCCAGCCCCTTGTGAACCATCTACTATTTCGAAAAGCGTATTCCCAATTTTTATGACGTTTGCCGCGCGAATCACGGCCCTCTACGTCTGCCAGATACACGTAACACTGGTTTGATTCCGTATACCATCGGTACATGGACCGGATGGCTGTGCCGAGTTCCTCGCTGCTCGACTTGTCGATACAGCAAGTGTCTACCCAGAAGTACCGCAGCCCGTCACTGGCAGCTTGTTGGCCGCAGAACTCGAGTTTGCGATATCCATCTTTGCTTTGACCTCTGCGCTTTTGAATATCCCGGAAATTGACTTCCTCGTCGTCGGGTCCCCAAGTATGGGAGAGGATGGCATAGGGAGGAACGGAGCTGTCATCGAAATATTCTAAGACGATGGCACCGGTGCTACGGATCCTCAGGAGCCTCATGTTGATGAAAGACGTATTGTACTATTGCTCTGATACAACGCGCAAAAATGAATTGGAAATAAAAGGCTCTGTCAGCGAGGCTCTGGGATTGAAGTCAGCCCAAGGCAGACGCACAGCGCTTAGCCGTTCTTGGCGTTACATCCAGGCTGGCCCCCAATGCAACAGTAAGATGGGTTTGCAGGTGCTGTCCCCGCTGGAGTTGACGTTGAATGTGTGAGGTCACGTGTGCCCATGTTCACATTTGAGCATCGAAGCCACAATGTTTAGATATATATATGATCTGCTGAAGTTGCCTAGCCACATAGCTCTGATAGCTACGAAGCCACAACATTCGCTGCAATAGGATATCACCATGAGCCGCAACCTGAGGATTTTCTCAGGCAAGAGCCGACTGTTCTGACTGCTCCAAAAGTCACATCGACAGAATTATTTGTGGCAGTCAGTCACATAATAATGCTTCCTATTGTATCATAATAGGTAGATAATATTGCTCAATAATAACTCAATAACTTATTATTATCAGCTCGTGTCTGCCAATATCGTGGCCTGTATTGGAAGTTGGGATTGAGACACCTTTGCAGTCCTTGTTATTCTGACGCCCACTCGCCAGCTATCATCGCGCAGGTTAAAGTGGCTGTCTAGCCTAGTCTGACCGGCATTCTCTGAAGTATGGAGAATTCCATAATGACCAGATGTCAACTGTTGCCTCTCAGCCTTTGTCCTGGGATTTCAGTAAGCAGAGCTCTGCCATCCAACTTGATAAGCCGCTCCCATCACCCAAGTTTTCTTACCGACTGATACATCTGGAACATGCATAATAAAGTTAAGCACTGTATGGAGACCACTCCTTTATTTTCTGGGGCGATTTGCTTTGGAATTGTCTCAATCCCAAAGGAAATTTCGGTGCCTAAATTAAACGGGGAATCCAGAAACTCGGCGCATTTGCTAGTGAGCTTCTCGATGATCCTCTAACATTTCAGTTTTCATAGGATCTAGCACCCTGAAAACCCGCACGGGGTTTATCACAGTGTTTCAGTGCCAAGCGACTAAATTCAGGCATAAATCTCGACACAATATCAAAACAATCAACGTAGTAATGAACACAATATCGAGCTAAAAATCGTAATTTGTGCCAAGTGGATGAGATATTGGTATGAAGTGATCATCCCAAAAGAATCAATGAAGTTTCCATCCATCAATAAAAATACATGGCAAGAATTATCATACTATCTGTGATAAAGAAGGCTGCTTCTCGAAGTCACGCGAGTTTCTCTAAAGGCTTGGCGTCGCCTGCTCTGACGTACTTTGAATGGACTTTCACACTCGCTCAGATAGCACACGATCAAAGAGGAGAACTTGGCAGCTCGGACACAGTCCAAAACCTGACATTCTCTATTGATAGTGAAAGTTTTATGTCTTAGATGACGGAGGTGCGTTGCATCAGAGGCTCTGCCAAGCCGTGAGAATCAAAGAAGAATACTGGAGAATGGCGGGGCCTACGGTCTTGATCAACACCAGCCATCTCTGTTTGCGGGAATTGTCTGGTCCACTAAGGGGAAGTCTTTGACGTCACCGAAGCCTTTCATAAATCTCTTATCCACTTGACAAACTCTTTACTGTGTGGAAAAGAGAGATCAGTGTCTGCCAAGATGCGCCAAGCAGCGGATACACCCACCTCAGACCAGGTGGGACAATTGATAGGCGAAAACGCAGTTAGTGTAGCGCGTAAATTAAGCTTACTATCAAGTTTACCTTCCAACCCTCCTCGACGAGACAGGGGCAGGAGAGAAAGGTGCCCGCTCGTTAGAGGTTAAACATACGTGACGTAGGGACTGGTGGGGGCTTCGCTGCACTTTGTCCCCTCTGATGAGGTGAGCGGCCTCTGTCCCACCGGGCGAACCTCAGTTGTGATGATGAGGCTTCCAATTGACTGTGAGATCGCCTCTGTGTTGGGTGGGGGCTGGGGCCGGATAGTGGTCGGTCGGGCGAGCAATCAGCAGGAACAGACTTCTCGCTAATCCCGGGCGATATTATCTGCTCAGAATTCCTTTACCAGCATTCAGCGCCTTTGTCTAATCAAAAAGCGGGCTCTGGCCTGTTGATCGACAATTGGGGGGACTTTGAACTGCACAATAGCGTCATGTCATCGCACGGGCATACCGAATTTTCAGTTGATACGCAAGCCTCTCTCTCTTTATCAGAGATTTTAATCTGGAGAAAAGGCTGGGCAACGCCAATGAGATAGTGCCAAGACTCCAGGCATCAACTTAAAGACAGAGATATCGCGGCAATGGGTATCTGAGCGGGCAATTCTCCCCATGCCGGCGCTATCACTTGCATATCTTGGCCCAGAGCTTCTTATGACACAGTGTATAAACCGTCAATGTATTGTGTTTAGCCTTTCCTCTTGAATCATGCTAGAGACCTAATCTCAGATGTCTCAAGTGATACCTCACTCTCTTATCAGTTGAGAGCGACAACACGCATCGACAGGATGAGCTGCGGCTTTTCAAACGGACATGAAGTATGATGTGATGATAAGGCTTTATTGTAATCGATATATATTGGCGTAATAAACGTAATGGGAGACGATTAATGGGCGCCAATCCTACGACAAGGGCACAGTATCCACCACCCATGACGCATCCCATCCCAAAAGGTATGAAGACAGAGACCGTGTAGTAGTATCAGCCGAGCCTCCAAGCCTAGCCTAATGCTACAAACCACCATGTTGATCGCCCACATGAATCACAGTGTGCGTTCACTTGTGACAGGCAGGGTACCACTCCACTTCTCCGCCCTCCATGCCTTGACCGTTGTTGGGTCCGACCTGGAGAAAGGAATTGGTCTCCAGGATCTCTCATTTAGATACTTAAAATGTGTATATATGGGTCAATCTCCCTCCCCAACCTTCTACTGACGTCTTGAGTCTACTCATCTCCGATAATTTTGCACAGGAGGATACAACGCTTAGAGTCCTTATGAGAAAACACCTAGTGTGAAGACTCGCTCGGCTACGGGACTTACCAATTCCATTTAATAACACTCGAAGTAGTATATACTACTACCCTTGGTGGTCTAAAGACTATGGCACCTCATCACGAAGCCGAGGCCCGCGAAGGGTCGGGCTACAACTCAAGCAGCAACGGAGCTACGGAAAAGGAGCCTGGCCGAAAAGATTCCGTCTTGGACAATCGGCGAGCTTCAACCGCAGCCCTGCTGCGTAACCCTCTCGCTGGCCTAACCACGGAGGAGATTCTCAAAGACGTGGATTCATTCGTCGAGCAGAATGGCCTCCAGGAGTATCATGACGAGTTCCGCAAGGGCGCTCTCCTAGCCCAAGTCAGCAACACCCCACAAGCTTTCGAGCACATCGAAACTATCTCGGAAGAGGAAAAAGTCGTTCTACGTCGCGAGGAAACTCACAAGTGGGATCAACCCTTCATGCTCTACTTCCTCTGTATTCTCTGTGCAGGATCGGCTGTTGTCCAGGGCATGGACCAGACAGCCGTCAATGGCGCGCAAGAGTTCTACTACAAGACCTTCAACATTGAGGGCGATGAGAACGCCAACCTGCAGGGTCTTCTCAACGGAGCTCCGTATCTGTGTTCCGCGCTCATCGGCTGCTGGACCAATCCCTTCTTGAACAAGATTGGTGGTCGCCGATTCACCATCTTCATCTCATGCTTTATTTCTGTCGTCACCGGTTTCTGGATGGCAGCTGCCAACAAGTAAGTAAAGAATTCATAGTAACCCCAATTCTATACGTTTTCAGCAGTCTAATGGGTATTTCGATAGCTTTGCCAACCTCTTGGTTGCCCGCTTCGCACTCGGTTTCGCAGTCGGCGCAAAGTCTTCGACCACTCCTGTGTACTCGGCCGAGTCGACACCCAAGAACATCCGCGGTGCCCTCACCATGATGTGGCAGATGTGGACCGCCTTCGGAATCTGCCTCGGGTTCGTGGTGTCAGTCGCCTTCGAGAAGGTCGACTTCCTCGGCGAGAACACGCAGTGGCGATGGATGCTCGCCTCGACCTCTGTGCCCCCGCTGCTCGTGATGATCCAGGTCTACTTCTGTCCCGAATCTCCGCGGTGGTACATGGAGAAGGGCCGCTACGACAAGGCTTACAGATCCGTCTGTCGTCTTCGCCGTCTCCCCGTCCAGGCAACCCGGGACATGTACTACGCCCACAAGCTTCTGGAGGTTGAGCGGGCAAACCGTGCCAATCACTCGTGGACTGAGTTCTTCACGGTTCGTCGAAACCGTCGTGCGGCGCAGTCAGCCTGGTTTTGCATGTAAGTTGTATCCCAAAACACCAAAACACCACGATCCAACCATCACGATATTTCATACGCACAGTGCGTATATAGTGTAATAATACTAATTCGCACTGTAGGCTGGCACAGCAGCTCTGTGGAGTTAACGTGATAGCTTACTACTCTACGAAGATGTTTAAAGACTCTGGCTTCTCGCAGACTCAAGCACTTCTCGCATCGATGGGTGGTGGCTTGATAAACTGGCTTTTCGCGATCCCAGCCGTGTACACCATCGACACCTTTGGGCGGCGGAACCTGCTTCTAGTCGGTTTTCCGATCATGTCGGCCTGTCTGTTCTTCACCGGATTCTCTTTCTTAATTCCAAACGAACAAGCGCGGATGGGCTGCGTCGTCACCGGTCTATACTTATTCATGGCGGCATACTCCCCCAGTGAAGGCCCCGTACCCTTCACATACAGTGCGGAGGCGTTCCCGCTGCACTTCCGTGACATTGGCATGTCTTCGTCGACGGCCATCTGCTGGGGGTTCAACTTCATCATCTCGTTCACCTGGCCGAGCATGGTCGTCAGGTTCGGCAACACCGGTGCCTTCTGCTGGTACGCGGTGTGGAACATGATTGGTTTCGTCTTCACCTATTTCATGCTGCCCGAGACCAAGGGTCTCACGCTTGAGGAGCTGGACAACGTCTTTGAGGTCAGAAACAGGGATCATGCTGGCTACTACACCAGGAAGCTGCCCTGGTATCTCAAGAAGAAGATCCTCCGCGCTGATGTCGACCACTTTCCTCCTCTGTACGACTTCGCTACGGAGTATAATGACGTGAAGGAGAAGCCTACGGCTTACCACAGTGAGGGAGTTCTGAGATCCCCTGGTGCAGACCAGAAGGTTTGATCGAGGATACGGGTGTGCATCAGAGAGGTGGGTTCAGAGAAAACACCACAGCTCACCGAGATATCCTTCATGTGCAATTGATGATATCAAGAAGAGGGGACGGAATAGGAGCATCACTGTTAATCTGCTTCCTTTTTAGTATACGTGCTATATTTAACGGCCTAAATAAAGAATACTACTTACCTAGATATTCGAGCAATGTCGTAGTGTCAATCCTAAATACCTCAGTCACCGAAAATGTGCTTTAAAGTGAATATTAGAAATCAAACAATCCCAAAATAATTAGGTTTCTGGAGATGACCTACTGAAATGTTGTATCTGTTATGTCATCTACGTTCATGCGGGGTAACATCATTATCAATCTGAGCACCGGAGCTTCCGAGGTGGACATAAAAGAAATCATCTCTTCATCTTCTTTTCATCACTGACTACATACACATTCCCTTTATTGATTAAATTACACAAAAAATGGCGAAAGTGGGCGCTTCTGGAACCGAGTAGGCCTTCCAAACCAGCCGCAGAAGCAAGCGTTGCTAATAGATTCTAGTCTCGCAGAATTGGCCGAGCACCTGGTCAAGAACGGCACTCGCAAGGTACTTGGGACTTCACGGAGAGTCCGGGTTGTGTTTAATCGCAAGATAATTGTTGATACGACAGCTGCAACCTTGGTTTGGGAACATGATTACTTTCCGCAATACTACGTTCCGTTGAAGGATCTGCAGGGCGACCTCAAGGAAACGCAGAAAATCCAGATTGATGGCCACACAAAAGCTTCGGTAGCCACACTCACTGTTGCGGCAGGGGAGGGCGAAACCGATACCGCTACAACAGATCGTGTGGTTCGCTTTGAAGGGACCGGAAGCCTAGACTCTGCGACGCAAATGGTCCGTCTTGAGTTTGGCAGTATGGGTAGGTGATAGATGGCTGCTGAGATATCATCGCAAGACTGACCCAAAACGACTGCGACGCAGATAAATGGCTTGAAGAAGATCAGCCTATCTACGTCCACGCCAAGGACCCTTTCAAGCGCATCGATATCTTGCCGTCTCAGCGACCAATTGAGGTCAAGGTGTCTGGGCAGACCGTTGCCAAGTCCAATTTTGCAATGCACCTGTTCGAAACCGGGCTGCCCACGAGATACTATCTCCCTCTCGCAGCTGTGGACCAAACTGTCCTTCGCAAGAGCGAGCTGGTCACCAAGTGCCCCTACAAAGGTGAGGCAGAATACTACCACATTGTTATAAATGGAAATGAGCAGCAGAACCTTGTCTGGTATTATCGACTACCGACCCACGAGAGTGCGGCTGTTGCTGGGCTGGTGTGCTTCTACAACGAGAAGGTCGATATAAGTCTGGATGGAAAGCCTTTGGAGCGCCCCAAGTCAATATTCAGCTGATGGATTGCGACAATCGTATGTCTAAAGCTGCGGGTGCGGGGCAAAGCAACCAGGATATAAGAAGATGGGCTCAGGGAGTCGGAATGGCCCGGGAGTGCTCCACAGCCGTTGTTGGGCTGTTTGGCGTGTTGTTCGCCCTGACATCTCGATTTGAACGGCTGGGGAAGATATTAAGAGGTACTCATCCATAGTTATCTATGTAAATCTGAAACTCCAGATCGCTGCAATTGATGCTTCTGCCTGTCTTCTACTCCTACTAGGACATTCATTAGTTGCCTTCTTACCCTACAGGCAAACGTGTCCGGCGATTGAAGTTGAAGCTACCTGAAAATAGCCAATTGAAAAATCTGGCTTGTGAATGTGGACAAAGATGGTTCCATGTATCCATCCAATGCCGCCCGGGAAGACGGGGGACAATCCGCAATGCTACGTAAGGACGAGGGTAAGGCTGGCCCTCGATTATCAGCTGGAGCTCAGCAGGTCTGGGCTCAATCGGCCAGCCGCTGCGTGGATGCGCCAGGGGTTTCCATTGGAGCAGAAATTTATTTGATTGTTGAGCTGATGGCAGTGCGACGGGCAGAGACGGACCAGCGCGGCGTCTTTTCTGTGTGGTTCCATATCAATACTCATCTCAGGTATCAGCCAATTGCGTGCATGGTAAGTCGTGAGAGAAAACGACCCAAGGCTCGTGGCCATGCAGGAGTGCAGTGAGGCTCACAAGCGCGTGTGCATGGCAGCCGCGTTCAAGTCACCCCATATGGTGGGCTGAAGAATTTCCTGAGAGAGCTGAGCTGGGGAATATCCTTTCAAAAGACGGTGTTGATTGTAACGTATACCTGCATAGATAGATTGTGCATATGCAGAGCTGCATGCCAATACGAGGGCTGTTGTGGTTGGCCAAGAGGATAAGCTGAGGCAGCCTAGAGGTATGTGAGCCAAGGCCGCGCGGACAGATAGGCCAATTCAAACTTTCTAGGTGCCTCTTCCTCCTAATGAGGTACCCTACAGCAAGGAATGGCCTGTTCAGCAACTTTCTTATGGCTGTTGGCCGCACTTGCCTCAGCCCAGCTTTGGGCTTGACCTGGATGAGAAGGAGCGATTGATGGCGCCAGAACACTCGGCCAGTGCGCCTGGAATAGAAATGGCGGCAGGCACGAATGCAAAGGCATTTTGGACGGTGACAGGCCCCGGTCTAGGCGGTGCATGTACCTTTTTAGACATCTCCGTCTGCCATTTGCATCTGCCTTATTTTGCCTAGACCGAGATCCCTTCAACCTCGCGCTCGTTGCCGACTGCTGGCCTACTCGACGCCAAGATTGTATCTTTCCACCGCGTGCTCTTGACCGGCCGCGCCGGGCCTTTTACACCGTGAATAAGGTGCCACCCGCGGCTGCGTGGTGGTTGCATACTGCCCCTTGTCGACTCCATCCCGCAGCTGGATACGACAAAGCAACACACACCAGGCTGCCTCCTACAACGGCTGCCCTGCGATCGTCGCGCGAACCACACGCACCTCCCCGTTCCCAACGAACTTTTCGAATGAGAACAGCCCGGATTCTGAGTATCGTGCAGAAGTGGACTGAGGAAACGGTGGGGCGGTTAAATGATAACGATCCATGAGCCCTCCATCTGTCCCCTGTTTGCCGCCTTCTGGAATCGTGGTGGCGGGATCCATCCATCACAAGTTCTAGCATCTTGGCATGCGTCTCGTATCTCGACGAAATTCTTCTGCTCACCTTTTTACTGCATACAGACGCATACCAACCGTCAATTGTGGAAATTATGGCATATCTTATTACCTAGGTAATATCAATATGAAGCCATTTTCTTTCGACTTTCCGTCAGTTCTCACTTCTGTGTTGTCTTGCCCACGCCAGTTCGGCAGCAGGGCCGATGAGATTCCGTCCGTTATGATCAAATCTTCGACAGATGCCGGGGATAGAGCTCCTTGTCCAACTCCACGCAATCTTCCAAAAACGTGTGGACGTTGAATCCATGGCTGTTCTTGTCTGCTTACATGCAGGGACGGAAAAACAGCAAACAGGGGTGTTGCTGGCTGGGACCTGGGTATTTCTTCACATCCTGGTAACTTGGCATTTACCTCGATACTACTCTGCACTCAACAACGCTCACTTGCGCAGCTGAGCCCAATCTAACTCTTCTCCGCTCGGCTAGCTGTGCACCGAAGGTATAAGCCACAGATAAGATGGAGGCGTTTCCCACACCGTGCTTTGGGGCTCGCTCCCTTTCTCCATTCCTATATGCTCCCCATTGAGCGTGGCACGTCGCTCGTTTCAGACCTTTGCCCTCTCGTCGGAAACCATGGGTTTCGCGGCCTTGCTCGCGTCGGTGTTGGTCGGCCTGGCCAATGGCCTGGCCTCAACCGATACAATTACTTGGGGAGGTGACAATACTCGTGCTGGGTACCAAACGTGAGTTTACTGTTCACCTTCGTGATCTTGATTGGAACCCACCAATTGGCACGAAAAAGGCCCAAGGTCTGACATTGCGGGTGCTCTGAGCTAGAAATCATAACATGGACCCAGCTGTCGTTCGCAGCTCTGAATGGGGTCAATTGTTTAAAACCGACCTTCCTGGAAATTATAAGGGCTACAAAGAAGTCATTTACTCTCAACCTCTTGTCTATACGCCTTCGGGGGGTGACACTCAATACGTATACGTGACCACTACCCAAAACAACGTCTATAAGCTTGATTCCAAGACGGGCGCCATTATCGCTTCGCGTAACCTAAAAATTCCATTCTTGACTGCGGATCTCGATGGCTGCGTTGACATTAACCCTACGGTCGGTGCAATTGGCACGGGTGTTATTGACCCCGATGACGGAACCTACTATGTGATCGTCAAGACATACGAGAACCAAGAGAGTCAAGAACCTCAGGGTCGTCCGGCCGGTCGTCATTTTATCTTTGCTATTGACGTCAATGATTTGAGTGACAGGCCAAATTTCCCAATCAATCTCGAAGGCATTGTCTCTCGCAACAGCCAGGTGCGAAAATTCAATGGCGGTATTCTGCTTCAGCGACCCGGTCTTCTGCATACTGGAGGCTTTTTCTATGCCGGATTCGGATCCCACTGTGTTCAGTACGATTTCTCTGGCTGGATTATCGGCTGGGACAAATCTGGCAACATTGTTGAGAAATGGGTTACCCAGGGCCCTGATGTCCCTGAAACGACCCGAGGTGCCGGTATTTGGATGTCAGGAGGAGGCTTGGCCTCTGATGATAAAGGTTCCATCTGGTTCGGTACTGGAAACGGCTATGCCTCTCAGCTTGCCACTATCCCCGTGAATGGCTTCGATCCGCCCACTGCTATGGAGGAGGCTGCCGTTCGTATGACTCAAAACGCAGACGGAACATTGTCCATTGTCAACTTCTTCATGCCTTGGGAGAAGCAGGCACTCGATGGTGCTGACAAAGATCTCGGAACAAGCCCTCTCCAACTCCTTCCTTCAGAGTTCTCCTGCGGCGATGTAAGACGCATGGGTGTTATTACTGGAAAGAGTGGTAAGACATACTGGCTCAATATGGATGACCTTGGAGGATACAGGAACGGCAAAGGAGCGACTATGGATGATGTAATCCAAATGTACCAGAATGAGAACTCCGTGTATGCTGGCGCTGGTGTTTATCCGCTGGAAGGGGGTTACATTTATGTGAATGGTAAGTCGCCTGTGTATACCACTGCGTGACTCAGAATGACGATTTGGCTAACTTTTTGAACAGTGATCCAATACCCCACCCATGTTTTCAAATTCTCATGCAGTGACGGCGTTCCTTCTTTTACCAAGGTTGCGGACTCGCCTAATGTCAATGCTTACACTCTGGGTGTGAGCCACGGCACAGTCACGACACTGGACGGGAAGGAGGGAACTGGCCTCCTTTGGAACTGTGATGTTCAGGAGGGCAATCTACGCATATATGACGCGGTACCGGTGGACGGGAAGCTCAATCTGATCAAGTCTTTCGATGTCACCGGAAGCACCAAGTTCACACGTGCAGTGTTTGGTGATGGCAGACTTTATATGGGCACCACTCTAGGAACTTTCTACGGGTTCGGATCCCCAACGACTTCACCGCTTGAATGCACAAGCAACCTCGACTTTGGACCTATTGACATCTCCTCCGAGAGTGCCGAAAGGGACATCACTTGTACTGCTCTTATTGACGTTACCGTCTCGAACATCGCCCTGCAAGATGGCGCCCACTTCAAGCTCACTAACGTGCCTACCATTCCATTGCAGGTTGCCGCCAACAGCAAGTTCACAGCCAAGGCTAAGTTCGCTCCTTCTAGAGTTGGCGTCCTGTCCGATAACATTGCCGTCGACACAACCAATTCACAGGCTGGCTACAGCAAGAACACCCTTATTCGTGTCTCAGGCACTGGCGAGAGTGCAGGCCCTCTACTCTCTATTAGCCCTGAAACGGTCACGTTTAACGGGGTCATTACCGGAAACGACCCTAATGGTGTCACGGAGACTGTACTCGTTAGCAACGAGGGCCAGTCTCTGCTCACTGTCACATCTGTGCAATACGGCGAAAGCTCAAACGGAACCCTTCAGACTTGGAATGGACAAGGCAACATTGTGTTTGGGAAATTTACGATTCAAGATATCCCTACCACCATTGCTGCGGACAGTAGCAAGACCGTCACTGTTCTCTTTGATTCATCGACCGATGGAACTTTCCATGGCTATGTCAAGTTCATTACTAATGGTGGCGAGGATTCCTTCAACATCGAAGCCTCGGCTGGCCCTGCCCCTATTGCTGTTATTGAATTCCAGACTCCCGATGGCACAGGTTGGGTCAAATATGATGCCAATACACACTTCACTTTCGGTCAGGTCTACCAAAACACTGCTCTTTCATTGAAGCTCCGTGTCACCAATGCTGCTCCTCAGGGCGGTGTCCAAATGAGTCTCACAGTTTCAAAGCCGCCATTCGGTATTGACAGCATTGTCCAGGCCAACAACCAAGTCGATCTTGCTGAGGGTACCACCCTTGCACCAGGACAGAGTGCTACTGCTGTTCTCACCTGTGCTGTTCCCAAGTCGCAAATCAATGTCGACTCGTATAATGGCACTGCTCCATGGACAATGAACATCAACGACCCTAACCTTTCAAAGCAGACCATGCATTTCGATTGCGACGCAGTGGCGCAACAGGCTCCACCTCTCCTGGACAATGGCCAAGGCAAGTTTAGATATGTCGGCTGTTACAAAGAGAACAATCCAGGACGGCAGCTCTCTACTCAGCTCTATGGCAGTGACACGAATGAGGGCTTCATGTGTATCAACGCTTGCGAGAATGGAGACTACATCTTCTGTGGAACCCAGTATCATCGCGAATGCTGGGCCGGCAACACAGTGCCTAACTTGAAGGTGGATGACAAAAATTGCAACTTTGACTGCTCTGGAGACCTGAACCAGATCTGCGGTGGAGATGGTGTGGATGGGGCTGGTATATTTATTTCGCTGTTTGCCGATTCGTTACGTTGGGACGAGAACTCAACTGAACCTCTCCCTCCCGGCGGTCCCTATGTTAACCCTGGGGTGCTCGGCTACGGCAGTTTGGGCTGCTGGACGGAGCCTACATCGGGCGATCGCGCTTTATCCCAACAGATGAGTATTACAGAAGCTACCGTTGCTAAATGCGTTAAGCTATGCGCTGATCGAGAATACCTCTACGCTGGGTTGGAGTATGGAGCGGAGGTATGTTTACAATTTCCAAATATCGCAAACATTAATTCTACAATGTACTGACCAAGGGGTTATAGTGTTGGTGCGGCGATGCACTGAGCAGCGCATCACTCTCAGCTCCTGATGCTGATTGCGGTATGACGTGTTCAGGTAAGTGTGGCCCTTCCTTCACGCCTTCGGATTTTTCTAAGAATTCCTATAGGAAACTCTACCGAATATTGCGGCGGTGGCTCTCGTTTGAATCTGTACAAGTATGGAGCCTCATTCAATGGCACAAATCCCGACAATAGCACAACTACTGCTACGCCCACCAGTGTCTCGACCGTTTCCAGCTCTGCAATAACAACCACGACAGCAACAGCAACAGAACCTGCTCAGCCCACAATCAAATCAAGAGTGGGTGAATGGGTGTTCGAGGCTTGTTGGAATGAGCTAGCAGACGGGCGCGTTCTGTCAGCTCGTACCGAGGCCACCGATGACATGACACTAGAGAAGTGTGCCGAATTCTGCTCTGGAATGGCGTACTTCGGTGTCGAGTATGGAAGAGAATGTTATTGTGATGACTTGCTTCGAGAGGGCAGCACCAAGGCAGATGACCCTAGCACCTGCTCTCTCACCTGCGCTGGCGATGAAAGCACATACTGCGGTGGTTCCATGCGCTTACAGTTGTATAAGCATGGCGTTTCTGCTGATTCTGGCGCATCGTCTACCCCAGTGACTACCCCAACCTCGGGAGTCTCGTCAACAACTCCGACCTCTGCATCCAGCTCCAAGGTCGATGATGCCGCTTCCAGCCCCAGCTCTGCCTCAAGCTCGACCCCCAGTTCTTCCTCCGACTCATCCTCCAGCTCTATCCCTAGCTCTACCTCCACTCCCGGCCACTCTTCGAGTTCGACCGCTGGGTCAAGTTCCGAATCCGAGTCGGTATCAAGCACACCCTCAAAGACCTCTTCCACTAGCTCCACAACTACTCCTACCTCAGCCTCATCGACCCCGACTGGTCCAATCGTGTACCCTGGAAACCAAAATTTCACATATTACTCTTGTGTCGAAGAGCCATCAGCGGGAAGGCTTATGGATGATCAGATCTACAACAACGGCGACAATATGACAATCAAGTCCTGTCTTGAGCGTTGCTGGGAGTATGACTGGGCTGGTGTTGAATATGGCAGGGAGTGTTGGTGTGGTGATAAATTGAACTTGGAAGGAGAGACAAATGCCACGCCCGGAAAGAATGTGACAGACTCAGAATGCTCGTTCTTGTGCCCTGGCGATGACATGGTTTACTGCGGTGCTGCCTCACGCCTCAGCCTGTATGTCAAGAAGGAGCTGGCCAAGAAACTATGGGAAGAGTCTCAGGAGTCTACTTAAGACTATCTGTCATTCCTTTTATGCCTGGACATCATGTTCATTGGGAAGACATTCATCACGCTCTACTTTTGGTAATATCTACGATAAACGTCTCATGATTGGAAGGAATTGTTTAGAACGCATGCGTATAATTAGTCATAGAGATTCTAAAAGCATCTATGTGAGTCTAATAATTTATTGAATTAATTATGTTATTATCTAGCTGCTTGCGCATTGTTTCTAAGACTCTGTCTACACCTACACAAGACCAGTAACAAGTGTCTAGCTCTTCTGCTCAGCCGGTTGCCCCCTGTTCGTACATTCCGGAGGAAGACAAGCATCAAAATTGACGAGCGCTTCTGGCTTCTTGGACGTTCTCATATTATTTACGCAGTTCCGACATGGTCCGCTCCTCAGCCAGGGTTTTGGTCCGCCCTTTGCAGGGCCCCAAAGATGAAACCCTGTGTCGAACGCGTCGGGCTTCTTGACCTCTCCGCATGCAAGACACTCAAACTTCCAATCCAGGCTGATGAAGAGATTTCTCTTTTGCTCAATAGAGAGGCTTGATTCACTCAGAGAGTTGTGAAGTGCCACGGCGAGATCATAGGGCGGCTGCTGGGCGGCGGAACTGCCAAGGCGAGGCTGGGCAGCCTCAAAGATGGAGATGGTCCGCGCCCCGATCTTGACGTTCCTGGTGAGGACGTCGAGGATCTCCTTGTCTGGGATCTTGGTCATGGCCCAGTCCCTCAGGACCATGCCCCTCGGCCGGCTGGGGCACCGGGGAGGTTGTTGTTGGTCCGTCGCCCCCAGCGGTGCTGGAGGGGGCCGTGGTGATGGTGTGTTGAACAGCGTTGGTGTCTTACCCTCGCTGTCGCATGAGTCGTCTGAGTCGCATGATTCGTATCTGCTCCCCGCGAGGCTCCTCGCGTCAAAGATCTTTTGTGGCGGATTGGTGGTGGCGACGACGGGGGTGTTTGTGCGTGGAAGCTCTCTGGCGTTCGTTCCCATGTGGGAGGACGAGGGGTTGGTGTTGCTGGAACTCATTTCTTTCGAGGTGATATGTGTGGCATCGACGGCTGAGTATGTCTCTGGCTGAGGAGGTGCTTTCCGCAGCGCCCTTCCAGTTTGCAGTTATATAGAGATCCCGAGCATGGCAAACGAGGGCGTGGGATGTGATTGAGTGTCTCTGCGCTCGATTCCAGGATGACAATCTTGACGATGATAGTTCGTGAGTCCATGCCGATACGAAGGCCGACGACCACGTGTTACTGTTTTACAAGTGATTGCATGGGTTATTCGGATGCCGCTGGGTTACACAAGAGTGATGAGTTTTCGGCGGTGATTCGAAGATAGGCTACACCATCCGACGCATCTTGTCGTAGCCTTACGGTCTAGGCCAGTGCGTTCAACTGCGTTGATCTTGGGATTGAATGTTGGGAAACTTTGAAATAAGCCGGCCTATCTTTCTAACATGGGGTGGAAGGATATAAGAACGGTAATTTTGCGAGATTGTCACTCGGGAATAGAGAGTGACCCTTTGCCCTATTCGCCTCTTATTCATGCCATCTTAGCTACGGTACGGCCAATACACCAATAAAGCGCAAATACAATACAAATGCAACCATCTAAGTGTATAACTTCTTGTCACTGATTGAAAGATTTAGTCAAGGCTTAAGTCTCAGGCTGTGTAGGATGATAAATGCGTTTCCCGAGGTCCGACTTTGAACCCAGAAGAGCAGAATGCCAAATGCATTTGTATTCGTTCACGTCACCGCGGAGGACTGCCTCAATCACATACACGCCATAAACACTGTACAGACGGGTAAAGCATGCCCGGGAGTCTAAGCCTATCTTTCGGCTCGCTCCCTCGACAGACTGTGTTCACCATCCTTTTTTGATTCGCGTGGCTGCAGTAAGTGCGCGCTCTGTCGTGAGGGGGAGCTTCAAAATGGTGTTGAGTTGGACGTCTCCATATGGATGCATCTAGTGGTAGCAGATGGGAACCTGTTTTAATGTTTCCACTGCGGCGAAGACTCTGGCAAGGGGGAGTTCATGGTAAAATGTGTTGAGAGCAAAGTCGAACGTGTCTCCATTTTTTTGCAAGGCGTGTTAGAACTATGAGGAGAGCTATGCGTATCGGGGCTTTTGGGATATAGAAGAGGAGATACAAATCAGTCCTCAATCTTCTTTTAGGTTTGCTGAAGGACATGCTGATTAATTGGTGTGAGAGTCGTATCGTGATACATTTGATGTCGCCGGTTGCAATCATAAACATAACTTATTGTAGTACCGAGCTATGTATTCGTCCGGGCTTCGATACGCATGATGATTAGGTCTTAAGTACTCGGTTTGGAGCAATATTTTCAGACTCCTCTTCAGGTATATCCAGAAGCAACCATCCAGGAACAGCTTCGGCCTGGGCCTCGAATCTCTCGCAGCCTTGGTTATGCAGTTTTCCGGGAAGCCACATGTCTATGAGACCGATCCTATCAACTATTTGCGATGGTACCATAATCTTCGCCTTTTCCGTGGTGCGAAACGACAGTGTTGCGTCAATAAGTAGGTTGTAGTGGAGTTTACATGCCCCTAACTTAGGAGAGAAAGCATCTTCATCTATAGTTCGCCCTTTAATATCGCTTTTAGTAAAGGCCCTTGAGTAGCTCTGAAGAATGCACCATAAGAGCAGCTGCACCGTGTAGTCTATGTCATAATTTCTGGGAACGTTTAAAATCGCATCTATGATCTGCTTAGCCTGTCCAGTCATGCTGGGAGAAAAGTCTGGTAGGTCACGGAGCCTGTTCAAAAACTTTACGAAGGGTTCAAAGGCTTCAAATCCTTCAAAGTCTTCGAAAGCTTCGAAGGCTTCGGTCTCATAGGATTGTCTCTTCATCTTCTCATAGGATCGGCTTCCAAGAAGTATTTGTATCGTACGGACCGCATTTCCAAAGGATAAAATATTTTCGAAGTCATCCCCGAGCGCAATCTCTAATGGCGTTTGATAGTCGTACTGAGAGGAGAAGCGAGCGATGCTGTTGTTGAGTGGAAACTCGACGTCCTTTGTCAGAAATGTGAGGCCGTCCCAGTCTGCTGCATCTGCACAGTAATGCAACAGATTACTTTCTATGATGTAATGCCTTAGGCTGATCTTTATGGCTCTTATCGAAAGTATCGAAGATTGGGAGGCGTTCCGTAAGAGAATGTCACGAGCGAGGTCCCAGTCTCTAAGCTGCAGGCAACGTATGAGAGCTTCCCGAGCAAGCTCGACGTATTGGTTATAATGTTCAGAATTCTTGTTCCAAGCACTATCGATATACCTCCAGATTAATGATACGATTTTGCTTCGCTCAACTGATCTATCGTGGAGGGCATGTCGGATAAAGGAAGAAATGACCTCAACTTTTGCGTCGTCCCTCAGCCAAGGGCGAAGGGCCTGGACAAGTGAGAAGTCAGAATAGAGACAGTACCTTTCCATCCCATTTTCAATCAGTGCGTTGAAATTCAATCTCGGCATAGATCTATTTGCAGCTTCCAAGATTGCTTTTGTCATGTCGAAGAAGCTACTGCTAGTCATTCGTTGGATCAATTTGATATCTACCCAGAGTCGATCAATGTTGCAATGGTAGAGCCGCGGTACCCCTTTGAGCAAGTGATAAATAATCATGATTACCAATGGATCCGATGTGTCGCCACTAAGCACATTACTCAAAGGGAGCCCTGGCAGATGGCATAGAAGCCTAACCATGTTAGAATCTCCCTTCAAAAGAGCGAGATCCAAAAGCTGTCCCACTTGAGATTTTGAAAAGAATGATCTATCATGAGACAACTTTGCTTTGACTATTGCATAGTTCGAGTCGCCGATGTCTTTATAGAATACGGTATTCGAATCGAACGGAAGGGAGGCTCCCATGGAAACGAGCCAGCCGACAACTGCATGATCCTTGAACAAGGCGACGAGTGGAAGAAGCTGGGTGCACATCTTAGCAACTATCCTCGGCCGGGGGTTGCACTGCATGCATCTCCTGAGGTATGGAATCACAGTTCCAAAAGCTTTTGCCCAATCTCTCCCTTTCATTTCGTAGCGGAATAAGGGGATGTGCGCGTTAATGATTGCCCACATTATGCGCTGCGAAAAGCTCCAAAGAACGCCAGTGTCAGTGTCCAGGATCAAATCATCCCGAGCGGCAAAGTCCTGAGTCCATGTCAACTCATCGAATCTGGGGTTCTCCAGAAGCCTAACCCATAGTTCAAATAGTTTCGACCCTTTAGTTATCCACGAAGAGTGTTCAAGCCAGTACTTGGAGGCATATGAGAGAAAGTGGAACAGTTCTGTCGCCTGGCGACTCCTTTGCCGTCTTTTTACTTCCGTCAGTGCCTTCTTTGCGTCAAACTGGTGGTTGGACTCCGACTTCAACCACCGGATTGCCAACTGGCCAACCACCCCAGCAGGCGCCAAAGCCTCTTGCATGACGCGAGAAGGAAGCTCTCCAACTCGAACCTCGTGAGCGACGTCTTTCGAAATCTGTCTTTCAAAAAGGGAGCAGTTCAGATACGTAATCACACTCTCGCCTAGCAGTTTCTGGGCTTCTTCCATGGTGAAGTGCGACTCTGAGTTCGATCTACCACTGCCGGCAGTTGGTTTCTCGAGGAGAAATTGCATCACGCTCTGGTGAATCAGATAAACAGACAGATTCTCCTCGTCAACAGTCACTAAACTCCCACAGCAGGCCAGAACGCTGTGAATGTCATTCACCAGCATGTCCGGGCTCCAGTCGGTATTGCCTGGCTCCATGCTAATGACCTCTCGGATCTCGTCAACTGTTAATGGGCGATGGGCGGCGACAATAGTTTTGAGGATCCGGGTTTGGTACGTGTGGGCAAGTTTCCGAGACCTCTTGAGAATTCTATCAAATGTGCTGAAGAGGTCCGGTGGCAAGTCTTGGAGGGCGCTGCGTATGGCTGCATCGGATTTCTCGTCACAGAGCGAGTCGATTTGCAGCGCAACCCACAGGAACCTAAATCACACCAAAAATGTCAGTCCGAGTTCTTATCGACTCCTTTCATATAGGGTTATTCTAACATTCCGTTTGCCCCTTTTACCAGAGCATCTCGAATCTCAACTATCAGGCCTTCTTGGCCAAGAACGAGTTTATTGGCTTCTATCCTTCTTTCTAGCTCCTTCTCGATGAACTTGCCGATATCAGGATTCTTTTCAGGCATGGTCATCGTTTGGAAGTTCAACAATGGCCTGAAAAGGGATTGGTGGTCTTGCGCGCCGCTTCTGATCGATACACAGACGGACAGATGCATGAATTTCTGCATTTCTCCAAGTGCTTTTATGATCTCAATGGCATCGTATTCTTGACACTCATCCACTCCATCGAGGACAAAGTGAACTCGTGCGTCGCGTGGCACAGTATCTTTCACGAGTCTCAGGACATCTCCCAAGCTAAACATGGTAGTCACGCCGTCCACGACGTTATCCAGCAGGGAGTCTTTGAAAAATTTGTCGATCAGCTGGCGGCCTAGTGACCCGATGACAGCCCTGGCAGTGAGCGCTTCCGCATTGTCATGCCTACAGAAGAAGAAAGGAACTGCACGATCATTGCTCGATAGGTACAAATTGTCGATGATGCTGGCCATGGTCACCGATTTACCTGAACCCAGCTTACCAACAAGTACCAAGCTTGTTGATTCTATCGACTGCTCCCACGACAGATATGCGGGCTCGTCCTCATATACGGTTGAAACACCACATTTTCGTGCTTGCCTGAAGGGTGTCTCGTGTTCAGAGGATGAAAGGGCCTCCAAGAGATGAGCTCGTTGCCGAAGCTTCCTCTGTTGTGTTTCCCAGGAGTAGGCACCCCCAACCAGCGCGCGGAACAGGTTGTTCTCGCTAGCCTCGCTCTCAACCGTCTGGGTTGTGAGAAACGAAACCTCTTCTTTGATCTTAGCACCCAGTCTTTCCGACCTGGATTGCGCATCGCGTAGCTTAGAGTCATCCAGAGAGGCTGTCAGCTGACCAAGGAAGGATTTTCGGCTAAAGAGCATGAACTCATGGCAGGTTTGCACGATCACCAAAAAGTAACTCGACATATAATGGCTTAGCAGCTTTGACCGGCGATAGAGTAAAGCCATAGATTCATATCGCGGCGCTGATTGGCCGACGGTCATGAAGAAGTGTGAGACCTTGTCCAAGTACGAGCCAAAGCCAATGCATACCTGCAGAGGTCAATAACCCAAGATCTCACAAAAGAAGGGATTCCTCTCTCGTACCTGAATCGTCAATCTCACCAGGGCCCAAACTCCACATGCAATGATATTCTGAGACCCTCCAACCACCACATCACCCAGAGCAGCGTACTTCTGGACGCATTGCATGATATTGGTGAAGCGCGTGCCAAAGCAGCGATGGGTCGCAGAAGATTTCTGTATCTGGCTATTGAGACTGGCCGTGAATCTCATCACATCTTCAGCTGAAGGCGGTGCGCTCAGTGCTTGGGTTCGGAGACTACGAAAGCTGGCCTTGTGCTCCTTGGTGAGGCTGCTCTCGAATTCCGAGATGGCCTTAGCGAGCGCGATCTCGGGCTTCAACGGCGCCGCATTTCGTAAGGCGACATCCATCCTCACATGTTATCCGCGTGAGATGAGGCGTTCCGTATACCGTACATTATTGACATTGACAAGAACTACATCATTCAGATTCTAGAGATATCAATGAGTTGCTGGTGCTGAGTGAGGCTGATTTGCGGGGTGAGGTTGCAGCGGCTCAGCCACACCTGTCTCAAGGTGTCATCGCCACACCCACGCAAGGCATTTTCCTATTTGTTAATAGCCGCTGCATGATTTCTACTGGTCAAAGGATGGGGAGTGGTGGATAATGGGCGCTTAGAGGTGAGAAGGGACTCTCCGTTGCGTCATGGAAGGGCATGTTTCCTCGTGCTCGACCGGTTGTATCATTATCGCGAGATAGCCCTTCTCTAATTTCGGCCGGAAGTCAAGTATCTGTTTGGAATATTATCCAAAATTACCCAATTGAGCTTAACCGCAATAGAAATCGAGATCCACGCTTTTGATCATCAGGGTCATCCATCGGCCCTCTCCAAGCAGAGACGAGAAATCGCTCACTTGTCCACAGTCGACCCGTTCTTAAATAAATCCAATCAAACACTAGGTGTTATTAATATTCTATTAGTAACTGGAATGGGGACGGGAGGGTAAGAAAAGTTTCAATGACTTTGCGTACCTCTTGATCCCCCCTAGTTTTAGCCACACTTCGTGGTGTAGGAATGTGCTCCAAGTGCCTGTAGAGAGGTCGAAGATTTTGCAGACCAAGTGAATGGCATTCGTGAAAAATCATGCTTGATTCCTATCTGCCGTATCCCATATTTCGCTCTCGTTTATTTACGCAAGAAAAGAAAGAACATTATTCAAAACATGACTATAAAACAGGACCCTCCCATGAGTCTCTTGATAGCTTCACATACCATGACTGCTTGTGTGGAAATGAGACCTGTCTCTGTCGCGAGAACCCATTTTGCTGCAGCCGCTCTATGAATCTACCGTAATCGTTAGCAAAGTCTTCCTACTTCTCATGATATTAGGGGTATTTACCTTTCGTTATCCACTCTAGGTTCCAAGCAAATATTCATCGTGCGATAGTCAGCCGTAAGGCACCAGTGCACCAATCCGTTGAGCCATGTGGGCACGCGACCCCGAGCCCACTCTTCTCCAACCAGCACATGGAGTCCTCTGTCCCAGTCTTGAGATTCGCTGCCGAGCTGCCGACCGAGAATGTCTTCCTTCACCCAGTAGATCTCAAAGTAGCCAAATGGGACTCCGTCCCACATGCCAATCACGGGGAAAGAGTGGCGCGACTGAAAGCCATCGGTGAGGAAGTTCTGATGATACTGTCCCCAGAACGCACTTACACGTGGGCTAGACATCCACATCTGTAGTAGGGAGGTATCGCTCAGCGTGGTAAGATGTTGGTTCTCGGCGGCCTTTTGGCCAACCGGTCCCAAGTATGGAACCGGCTTGGGGGAGTTGGATGCCACCCGGAATGATAGATATTGCCCAACACTAGGGAGATACCTAGAGTAAAACACCTCACCCATTCGTGGTGGTTTGGGTCGGAGAGGATGGCGGACACCATTTGTCGAGATGTACAGCGGTGGTGGTGGAGGATAGTATGTAGGAAGATGGGAAGACGAGGCGAAGGGCCCTGACATAGCACCAGGATTACCTACCATAGCCACCGGTGTTGGTGATCCCGGAAGGTCGCTGTCACCGCGGCTGTGGAATGCATTTGGCGGCTGCGAATGTGTATGGCGGTGGTGAGGGCGCGACGAATCGGTCGGAGTAGGAGAACTAGGCCGGCTATTCGTTGGGGAGCCTGGGAAAGAAGACATGCCCCTGTTGGGCTGGAGGGTGAAAAGGAAGAGCCGGCCGGGGATTTGCCAGAACATCCTCCTCGATACAAACATGCGAGCCCAGCTATCCCCATTGTCATCCAGACTTGTACCAACTGAAGAATTAGAGGTGGCAATCAACCCCATCCTCTCCAGCTTTGGGATAAGATTCCGGCCCCGGAGCACTCCCTCCCTTGTGATGTTGATCTTCCAATCCCCTCTGGGCCTACCACAGGGAGGGGTAAGTCTAGAGGCATCCGTCTCAAGGACGTGAGAAGGCTCGGGCTGGTGAAAATACCAGTATAGAGTGACCCAGAGCATCATGGCAATCTGGCGAGTAGGGCTGGCAGCTGGCTTGAATTCATTGCTGGAGGGGTTGGCAATTGACGAGATGAAGAGCCTGTCCCTGTCCAGAGTCGGGGCGGTATAAGAGCGGATTGTGCGCTTCGTACTAAGCAGTGCACCCAACATGCCGTCCCGCTCATCAAAGCCATTCTTGTCATCCTTGTCCATGGGGTCGTCATCATCACTCTCGGCCTCAGCCTCGGTTTGCAGAACGATGGTCCAGCCGATGGGAAAGGCATGGTAATGCGCAGCATTCATCTCATGGCTTCTGAATCCAACACCACCAAAGACAGGCGTGACCGTGAAGGTCTGGCCGTCTGGCAAATGAAGTAGTTGCTGTGGCATTGCGGGGCTCCAATTAAGCTACACTGCAGAGCTGTCTCATCTGTCATGTATCGTTGGAGCAAGGATCAACCCAGGCCGGGCTTGAGCTAGTGGGAGCTAGAAGGACGGGCGAAGAGACGTGAAGCAACAGACAGGGTGAGGGAGAGGAGGAGAGGAGGAGAGGGAGCAGGACATCAATTTAATGGGATAGGAATGTCGTCTGCTCCAGAAGAGTCAGTCGTGTACGTGCAGTTATGCACCTCCAGTGAACTAGGAGCTTTGAGTTAGTAGTCGGATGCGCTCAGAATAGCATGATACAGTGCAAAATGCCCCTCATCTGTGCCTCCCGCCCCTCCACATGATTCCAGGTTTGGGCCGGAATGGGAGGTGCGGGGAAATTAAAATTGGCACTGTGTGAGCCCGCATGGTTGGGTTACATTACACAGTCAGAGAGTGTGGAATAGCACTGTCCTTTTCCGATGGCCTTGCGGATGATCTTGGTCTAGCTCAACCATCAGCCTCCCGTCCGTCTACTCAAGCCTCCCCCCAATCAAGGCGTGGTGACATTCTTTCTCCAATAGCGAATTCGCTGTTGGGCAAGGCCAACGAGCCCAGAAAGATCACCAGAACTCGTGGACCCCGTTGACGGATGGAAGTGTCATCCGCCTGGGTCCCATTGCAAATTTTCATCGCATGTGCGCTCTTTTGAGCGAATCGCCCTTCATTATATGGATCATTCTATTTGCTTTGAGGCTAACTAAGTACTGTTATATATGTCTACATGGGGATTGGTCGGGCGGGCGGCAGGACCCCGTATCTAGAACCTCTGCTGACCACTCGATTTCAAATATCTTCAATTCCCGGCCTTCTTCGTTTCGGGCGACTTTTCCTTCTCCGAGGTATTATCACCTTTGTCGTTATGTCCGCCCTCCTCGTCCTCATCGTCGTCGTCCCTCCGCTTATTCTTGTTCTTCTCTTGCTCCAAGACCTCCTTCACCTCCTCGCCACCCAAGTCTTTAGTCTCGTCCCACTCCACTCCATACTCACTCGCAACGATCCTGACTTCCCTACGAAGCAGGTTAACCTCCTGTATCAATTGGTCCCAGGTCTGCTGGTCAAATCCTCTCTCCTGATACAGAGCATGCTGCCTCCTGGACACCGTGATATTCATGGCAGCTTTGTAGCTAAGGTCTCGGCTTATGTAAAGAAACCAGAGATATCCACCCATGATGGTGGTCAAGCCCGCCAGGTAGGTAATGGGCTCGACTAGGTCCCAGCCCATCTCAGTGTGAAAGGTCACATAGTAGACCACTGCCCACCAGCCTACCAAGGCTGCAAACCCTCCCTGGGCGATTCGATGAGCACTTCTGTGTGCTATCTGATCACACTCGTTCTTGATCTTGGCCATACGGTCGACCCGGCGTGACATCCTTCTCAGACTCATCCGCATATAGTATGTTCGATCATTGAAGCTAGGCACGCGGATCCTGAGCTCCTGGGGGCACCCTTCAATCTCGATCTCGAACTCGCGGCCACGGGCGGCGTCTCGAATAAAGTCGCCCACCTCAGTGCTGCCACTCCACCGCACCCAGTTGACGTGGCCCTTGTTACCAGGACCTTCGTGGCCAAGGCCAGAGTAAGTAGCGACATTGTCTCCATTTCGGTTTGCTTTTTCCTGGTCCTTATCCTGTTCCGCCTCGGCTCGAAACACTATCCCAGGAAGCTTCTCCCGCCCGTCAGCAATGAGGGGTGGGATTTCGGCTTGAATCAGTCGTTCCACGTAGGAGAGAGGCTGCTGTGGGTGCACAAGAAGGGCAAGCGGCTCAACTTTCTCGGTGCCCGTGGATTGGTCTTCGTTCGCCTCGTTCTCGGGATCGATCGTTTTCTGTTTTGGGTGGAAAGGCATCGGTATGATCAGCTTGAGGAGCCGAGTCGGCGTCGTCAATACGGTTCCTGCCAGCAACAGACTTCTGTTAGCACGCGTAACTGGCAACAAGCTACTTCAAGCTTTGGAATTCGCATATTACCTTGGTAGTCATCGCTAGGCTGAGATTTGACGGTCTCGGCCTCCTCCCGCGACAAGTTGCTTACTCGTTGCCATGGCCGGTCGTCTACCTTTCTCTGTGCGTCGTCTCTCTCGGCGGATGCTCTGTGGTTGGGATTCTGCCGAGCTTCGTGGCGTTGGGTAGTATTTGAAAGATGTGCCCGCAAAGTTCTTGGCGGTAACAGGGTTTGTATTGAAGAGGGAGCTCTTCTTGGCCATGCGCGCAGGACGTTTGGGACACAGCGGGCAGCCCCAGGCCGTAGGGCTATCGTCAAGTGCATCACCATTACTTTCTAGAGCTTGGGTCAAGTATTGAGTTCAAAGTCGCCTCAATAATTGAACCCAATTCTATTCTTCTTCTCCAAATTAGGTATTGAGTAAGTTAAATGTCTTAAAGCGCCACGACACAACCAGGCACGACTCCAATAGTCATGACGTCAGTGGCCGCAATTAGAGTGTCAGGCCTCCAACCGCGACAAGCCAGCCTACCCTACATATTCCACAGGCGACACTGGGCCAAAATCAAGATTCGAGTCACCTCTCAAGAGTTTAAATTTATTTGAGGCTCTGCTAGACTAGTTCTTTTTTTATTACAATATTGGTCAAATGTGTACCAAAACCAGTTTTTGAGGTAGGTGTACCGATGAACTAAAGGAGAGTGGCCTTATCCTGACGACATCGAAAGCCTACCTATTCAGATCAAGCAACCACTTTCCAGATACTGTTCTCAATTTCCCTAGTTGTTTTCTTGAAAGGTTCTCGTTCGGTCTTTTAGTCACACTTTATCTCTGTAAGATCATTTTTATATTGGCAGTGTAGCAGTCCTGGACTCGTCTTCTGTCTGTTGGCTTCCGCTGAAAGCGGCCATAGCTGGAATCGAAAGGGCCTATTTGTAGTTCTTTTGGCCATCATATGCAAGGGAGTTTCGAGCTACACATGTGATTGACATTAGGACGAAACTTTCTTCCACGTAGAAAGTGGTCCACGACCAGATCTGGCAAACACACGCAGAGAAAACTCTATGAATTGAATACTTAGTAAGACACTGGAATTCTGCTTCATCTTCAAGCCTAAAGTGATACGATACATATCTCGTTGTAAAGGATGAAATTGGGCATGTTGATGAATTGCCCCGCCAACAAGGATCAACGGGCATTTGCGGGGCTGCAACTTCGTCCGGTCCCCTCACTAAACCGCTTTAGGGCGGTTCATTAATGGCAGAAAATATGCTCTATTAGGGGACCAATACGCATTATCGCACTATGGAGAGGAGGCCACACCGTCTTCCGGAATTCTTCGACCCGAACACGAAGCTTGCTCAATATCTCTGTTTCACCTCTGCTTCCCATCCTGCAGAGCGACTAGAACTCTAGGCAGACCTTCAAAGCAGGCAGTTTCTGACCATTGACCAAGCTCGTATCCCACATTCCCACCGCCCTCATCAAAATACCCCACGTTGCAATGGCGGACACCAAGGTCTACAGGGCGAGCACCACCGCGCCGGTGAACATCGCCGTGGTCAAGTATGATCCCTCAATTGCGTCCTTTTCTGATGCTCGGCGCTGACGGCCAATATATAGGTACTGGGGAAAGCGCGATGCGAAGCTTAACCTGCCCACCAATAGCTCCCTCTCCGTCACCCTCTCCCAGGACGACCTTCGCACCCTCACCACCGCAGCTTGCTCTGCTACCTTCGACGGCGACAGCCTCACCCTCAATGGCGAGTTGTCAGACATTTCCGGTGCCCGTACCCAGGCTTGCTTCCGCGAATTGCGAGCCCGCCGCGCTGCTGTCGAGGCTGCCAACCCCGCCCTGCCTAAGCTGTCGACCCTGCCCCTGAAAATCGTCTCCGAGAACAACTTCCCTACCGCAGCTGGTCTTGCCTCCTCTGCCGCTGGCTTTGCTGCCCTCGTCCGAGCCATCGCCAACCTGTACGAGCTGCCAGAGTCTCCCGCCGACCTTTCCCTCATTGCACGACAGGGTTCTGGATCAGCTTGCCGAAGCTTGTTTGGTGGTTATGTGGCCTGGAGGATGGGCAGCCAGGATGACGGTCTCGACTCCAAAGCCGAGCTAGTTGCTGAGGCGTCGCACTGGCCACAGATGCGGGCTCTTATTCTCGTCGTTAATGCTGCCAAGAAGGATGTCCCCTCGACATCTGGTATGCAGCAGACCGTCGCCACCTCTGGTCTCTTCCAGCAGAGAATAAACCAGGTGGTGCCTGCCAACATGACCCTTATGGAGGAGGCTGTCCGCGACAAGGATTTTGCCAAGTTTGCTGAGGTTACCATGAGGGACTCCAACTCCTTCCACGCATGCTGCGCCGACACCTACCCTCCCATTTTCTACATGAACGATGCTTCCCGCGCAGCTATCCGTGCGGTCGAGGCCATCAATGCCCAGGCTGGAAAGACTGTTGCTGCCTACACTTACGATGCCGGGCCAAACAGCGTTATTTACTTCCTTGAGGAAGATGCTGCGACCGTTGTTGGTGCGTTCCACGAGGTTCTGGGTGCCGTTGGTGGCTGGAAGGATGGGGCTGCGACCCTGAAGTCGAGTGCCAAGATCCCCGAGCAAACTGCTGCTATCCTCAAGGACGGTGTGAGCAGGGTGATACAGACCGGTGTTGGATCAGGTCCCGTTAAGACTGACGAGTTCCTCATCACAGAGGATGGCCAGCCTGCTAAGCGATAGACTTGATACACCATCTTGGAAAGCATAGCGAAATAGATGCCTAATAATCTTATAGCCAAAATTATTATGATGATGAACATGAAATAATTGTTACTCAAAAAATTGACCATGTACCTGTGTATCGTAACGTCCCAACTTTTGGAGCAATCTCTCGAGTGACCAAAATTGGTAGGTTGAGTCGTTGGCCGCTGCGCCCATGTTTGGCTGCCTGGCCAAACAAACGATCTCACTACCGCCTCACCCCGAACACACAATTCCTCGTCCTTCATTGTCCAGCCACCACCCAACCATAAAATGGTGGCTCGTACACTTACGAACTTCAAATCCCTCTTTTAAATTTCAACGACGCTCTCTTCACCTACTTTCCTTTTTTTCTAGCCTCAGACTCACTGCATTGAACCTACAACGAAATACTCAGCCACTAGCCGGGCCGCTAATTCGTCGCCATGGATGACAAGTCCACACGCGAAGAACAAACCACCAAGGACACCAACTTCACCAAATCGTCTTCAGATGGCCTCTCTGATCTCCTTGCAGACGGTCGCCCCGTTGAAATATTAGAGTGTGATAAATCTGGAAATGTCCAGCAACGGTGGTTGCATACCAAAGATGGCTACGTGGTTTCCGTAAGTTTCTCTGCCTTGCAAGGCTACCCTGCATCCCTGCGGAACGCCCCCAGCTGAACAGATCCAGATCTCGCCTGCCGGCACGAAGAATGACTACATCGTCCAGCTGATCAGGGGATGGCGGAAGACCCTGTTCGATTGCTTCCTGCCCGTGGGCTTCCCCCACTCGGTGTCTGACGATTACCTCGCGTACCAGGCGTGCGACTCGATCCAGGCCTTCTTCTCGACCATCACGTCTCTGCTGGCGAACCGAGCCCTCCTCCAGGGCCTCGGAGTCGGAGATGCCAACTCCTCGGCCACGTACGCCCTGCTCCTGACCATTCTCACGGACGCCATGTCCCGGATCGCGACTATTGTCTTTGCCAATCGCTGGGGTCTCCGCATCGAGCCCGAGGCGAAGCGGTACCGTTTCCTCGCGGACGTCTTCAACGACACGGCCTTCTTCCTGGAGCTCTACAGCCCCGCCCTGGGACCGTGGGGCAAGGTGCTCACTCTGAGCGTCGGCGAGGCTCTGCGTGCTCTGTGCGGTGTCGCGGCCGGGGCGAGCAAGGCCGCGCTGAGTGTTCACTTCGCCAGGCACGACAACCTTGCCGAGCTGAACGCGAAGGAGGCAAGTCAGGAGACCGCGGTGGGCCTGGTCGGCCTTCTCGTCGGGACTCTGGTGGTGAAGCTGGTCCAGGACAGCCGAAGCGTCATGTTCCTGATGGTCGTGCTGGTCATGGCCCACCTGTTTGTCAACTACGTCGGCGTCTGCAGTGTTCATATGACGAACCTGAACCGCCAGCGAGCTGTCATCTTCTTCTCAGAGTATCTCAAATCCGGCACCTTCCTCTCCCCCAAGGCGGTCGCGAAGCGGGAGAGCATCCTTTTCGAGTCTACCCGCATCCTCAACAAGCGCGGTGAGCGTGTTGCTAAGATCGACATTGCAAAGGACTTCCAGGATGCGATGGACAGGCGAAACTGCGGAGCCGTGTCGGTTCTCGACGGGCACAAGTACTCCCTCTTCATTGGCAACCAGCACAATGGGCTTGCCAGCATCAAGATCATGCTCTGGGATGGCTCCGACCCGTGGTATGCGGTCAACGCATGGTTCAGCGCCATGAAGATCGCGCAGGTGATGGAGGAGGGCAAGGGTTTCACGAAGGAGGTAGAGCAGCTTGTGAAGAAAAGAAGCAGCGAGGATGGTGGTGGCGGTCTCACGGACCTCCTGGATTCCGAGTTCAAGCAGAAGATGGAGAGCGTGGGATGGGATCTTGAGAGCCAGGCTTTCGAGACCAAGGCCCCCGTCCGGCTCCGCTTCCAGCAGGCCCATCGCAAGGACGAATAGGGCATCCGTTTACTTTGTACAGATTAGATACCCGTGTTAATGATGTTATGGCGTAACGCTCGCAGTCGGTAGGTCCCCGGACTATAGATTGTGCCTGGTCAAGATGGGCCAATGATTGATTCATCAGGTGGCTCGTAAACAACAAGAAGGGTACTGGTCTATAATGTGTGGTCTAATTTTACAACTGTTCCGTAAACGCCATTCCTTGGTATCGTGTAGATCATCGCTATTGTACAATTGGTGGGGTTTTCTTTCTTTTTTTCTCGATTTGATTTGCGCGAGGGATGGCTGGTCTTAGGCAACACCCGTCCATCGCATTGCCCGCATCTTGACTCCTTCCCATGTATTCAGCTTAGGTCGGACATCGAGGTAGAAGCTCGGCCCGCCCTTGCCATCAGCTCTGCCAGAGTAGAAGTCGATCACGTAGTCGACGCGGGTGCCGCAGCGGTCAATGACCCAGTCGTGGCGGTCGAACGGCGCAGTGTATCCGAGGACGGTGTTTATGCGCGCGGTCGGGGTCATACGGTCCATCTTGTTCGCAAAAGATTCGAGCTTGGGGCCACCACACCTAGGAAGAGTTGAAGGTTAGATCTAGTTTAGAATAGGAAGGGAAGAAGAGGTAGGGTCTCACTTCGAGGCCTCGACATATGGTTTCTCCCACTCGAGGATTTCCTTCCACGCTCGCTCGTTCACGGCGTTGTGGATTGGCACCACCGTCTTCATGTCTGCTGTCCTCGCATCGTAGCCCTTGCGCTTCATGGCCTCGAAGAACATCTTCTCGGAGGGGTAGACCCAATTGCCGGACTCGTGGGCCCCAGACTCGATCTCAGCGTTCGCGGAGGCGCCGTGGTCTACGGGGCAGGCGGCGCCATTGCCAGCCGATCGGGGGATGCTGGATATGACCCTGTCGGTCTCAAGCCCGGAGCCATGGCCGGGCGCTGCTGCGGGTGTAGGTGCGGGAGCGGACGATCCCCAGGGGATGTATGAGCTGAAGGTCTGTCCCCAGGTCTTGGGAGGGGTACGCGCGGAGTGGTCGACGGGGCATTGAGCTGGCGATGCGCTCTTGGGTTTCGCGGCTTCGGCTGCGCGGGCTTGTGATAGCCAGACCTCGCGGGCTTTGTGGTCGACGGGGCATGCGGATTCGGACTTCTCGGACATTTTGAAGTTGGTTCGAGGTATATGTTCAAAGAGAGAAATGATATTAAAGGATTATGGAGAAATATACACGACCTCAATGGTCTGAATTACACGGAATGAATAGGTCCTTGAACTAGTACTACATGAGATCTGAAATCTGCTCTTTCTGGTTGGTGTTGATGCAGGCGATCTCCATGTTGAAAAAAAAGGCCCCCGGTCCGAAGATCTGCCGAGCGCGATCGAACCGGACAGGACCAAGATTGAGTAGTATCTCTAGCTCGGAACGCTTTGGGGATTAAGTAGTAGATTGTGTTCTATGAAAATGAAGGCTAGAAATGAAATGAAAACCTCGATCGCCATACGTAGATGGCTTGCTGATTTGACCAACATTTGGCAATAGTAAAAGCATTTCCCACAACCCACGAAGTACAGGACCGTGACGCTGGACTTGCTACACTCGGCCAATATTCAAATTTTGAAATGAATCTTTGTCCGAACTGTAATGTTCCCACAGAACGGGTTGAACAGAACCCCTTCCACAAGGAATTTGGGAAATATCCAGGGTTGGACCAACTTTTTGGGCAATCGTCATCCGGCTGGATCTATCACTGGTAAATCTGATGATCAGGTCCATCTACTTCTGATCGCCTGCCCAAAAAACTAAAAATTGCTGGTCCTACTATCCCACAAACACTAATCGCTATTATGCCGATGACAGATCGCAATCCATGCTGGCATGGTGTTGTACAGTAAGGAAGCGAAAACACTTAAACGTTTGATGATGCCTTGACCGGTTGTTGTATCGGCTGGGTGTGTGTAGAAGCTCGGTCGTGCTCGGTGACAGCGCATGGGTCAGCTGGATCCCCCGGGGAATGGCCCGTGGCTACATCATTCTAGCGGGTCACGCGAACCTAAATCCGCCCTGTCCTCTATCAGAAGAGCCACCGCCGTGTCACGAGTGTGCTTCGTTATCTTGCGCCGCCCTTCCTCTCGTTGCGCTTATCATCCGTTCTGCCCGCTGCGCTTCCTGCCAGCTTCAATTGACTAGAATGCCGATGTACCTGTCGATGCTACGATGACAAGCGCCTCGCCGTCTGCTTCTGGGCTCCTCCCCATGCCTGGCACCCCGTCATCCTCCTGGGCGCTGTATGCTGCTCGAACCAGAGCCGCGTTCAAGAACCCCGATATGAAAGTCGTTGTGGCCTTTTGGCTTTTGGGTTAGCCCTCCTCCCCTGCCTTCTCCTTCTCCGCATCTCATGAAGCTAATAGACTTGCTAGGGTTGATCAACAACGTCCTCTATGTCATCATCCTGTCCGCAGCACAAGATCTCGTTGGCACCCTCCCCAAGGGTGTGGTGCTTCTCGCCGATGTCCTGCCTTCCTTCCTGACGAAACTCATCGCCCCATACTTCATCCACCGAGTTCCTTACAACATACGAGTCCTTATGTTCATTGCTCTGTCGACTGGAGGCATGCTTATGGTGGCACTGACGCCGCCTAGCAAGTCTGTGGCCGTCAAGCTGATCGGTGTCGTGTTCGCAAGTCTGAGCAGCGGCGGCGGGGAGCTGAGCTTCTTGGGCCTTACCCACTACTATGGCCACATGAGCCTTGCTGGCTGGGGCTCAGGGACGGGCGCTGCCGGCCTAGTAGGTGCTGCATTGTATGTTGCGCTGACAGATTGGTGGGGATTCAACGTTCGAGACAGCCTGCTGTTCTCGGCCTGTCTCCCGGTGGTGATGTTTATAAGCTTCTTCGTGATTCTGCCTCGCGGGCCGCTTCAGGAGGCTGGCCACGCGAAGCAATATGATGCCATTCCTGACAGGGACCTGGAGGACGAACAGGCCGAAGACATTTCTCCTCCCGAGGTCTCATCTGCTCTTTTGTTACCTGAACCTCCAGGCGCATCAGCCGCTTTTGCAAGGCAACCGACGTCGCATACGCATTCGTTTCAGCATAACCTACGGCGTGCTGGTGCCCTTTTCGTCCCCTACATGGTACCGCTGTTCCTTGTGTATGTCGCCGAGTATGCAATTAACCAAGGTGTTGCGCCCACTCTTCTCTTCCCAGTGGAGGAGTCGCCTTTCCACGAGTATCGCGGATTCTACCCATTCTACGGCTTCCTCTACCAACTTGGTGTCTTCATATCCAGATCTTCCACACCCTTTATTCGGATCCACCACCTTTATATCCCATCGTTTTTGCAGGTGGGAAACCTACTCTTCCTGGTGCTCCATGCACTATTCTTCTTCCTGCCCTCTGTCTATATCGTGTTCTTAATCATCTTCTGGGAAGGCCTTCTCGGTGGCGCAGTGTATGTGAATTGTTTTGCTGAGATTTTGGAAAATGTCCCCGCCGAAGATAGAGAGTTCAGCCTCAGCGCTGCAACTGCCAGTGATAGCGGCGGTATCTGCGTTGCAGCCATTATTGGGATTCTTCTGGAGCCCGCTCTATGTTCATATCAAGTCGCTCATGGTCGGCCTTGGTGTCGTAACATCCATGCTCAGCAGGGCTAAGACGACAGTACATCATGTTCTTAACTTTTATATATCTAATTCGATATATGATCCACAGCTCTATAATGTAGAACAGATTCTTATACTTCTTCACATACACTACCGATATCATCAGGCGCATCGGCCATTTCGATACCGCTTTTGGATCTTCTCGGCGAAGGCCAGACCGGTGCATTCTCCAAGTCAAAGAGCAGTTCTCGCCACATCTCGCCTTCAGGTCCCGCACGCTTCGCGAAACCCCGAAGCTCAAACCAGATACAAATGGCCTGGTGGTCCCGCCGAACCCGGTTGTTGCACCACCAGAAGTTGAAGCGAGTCACGAGGCCGAGCCAGTATCCGAAAAGCCACATTGCTGCCGGGCCCCCCGATTCCAGGAGCCGGCGAAACTCGTTGTCCAGCTTGCCGACGAAGGAAACGTAGATGAACAGGAGCTCGTGCCGCGGTTCCATGTCTTTAAGTTCCCCCAGGATCCTCACAGGCTCATAGAAGACGTGATCAGGGTCTGGACGGTGTATCTGGCTCGGAGAGATCCCGCACAGCTTTATCCACGCCCGAGGGACGCGGTCCAGCGGCTGCGGCGTCCCATTGAATGTTCGCCTGTCGTCGTCGGATGCGTCAAACATCCACTGTAGCATGGTGCCCTCCTTCCGGTAGGCCGCTGTTGACATCAGCAGGGGCTTCATGCCTAGATGGAGGCCGAGCCAGCCCAGACGATGCGGGTCGTCGCTGAACACCCACGACTTCCACGGGTCGTCGTCCTCGACGATGGAGAAGGTGAGGAGGTTGAGGAGCATGGACGTCAGGAGCAGGGCGTCCGCGCCGAGGGGGTCCCATGACTCCTCCAGGGCGGCCTGGAACCCCCGCACGGCGAGGGACTGCTGGTAGTGCTCGGCGATGCGATGCGAGGGGACGGGCGTGGTGGCGTGGCAGCGGAGATGGGACGCGGACACGGCGAGCATGGCGTTCATCAGGTGCGGTCGGGACAGGGCGAGAGAGACGACTGGGTCTGTTGCCACTCCGTCGAACATGTCTAGCTGCGCGAAGACGTGGTAGAAATGGCGGAGGAGAGTGAACCTTGGTGTCCCAAAGGGCGAGGCAGGCTGGTCTGCTTGAAGTTCTAGTGATATAGTCGGCAGTGCCATTTGTCGTATCAGTTCTCCGTGAGCATGTAATGGTAGAGGACTAGTATCCTGCTTCTGGTTTTCCATGGAATTGGAGGACTTGTCATTTGTGTCCCTGTAGATGCACCTTGTGCCAGTCCGTAGGCAGCGTTTACATGCTGGCTTGGTCTCGTCACACTGTATTTTCGGCCCCAGAAGACAATTAGCTGATCATATTACATCTGTTTTGGGCCTATGGAAAAGCAGTCTTGGGCAGGTTCTGGGATCAATAATAAAGTACCTTGACTCTTTTCAATTTGCAGCTGCCACAACCACCCCTTGACTTGGGGTGTGTCTTTCTCTTCTTATACTGGCGGGTCTCGAACTTCTCACCGGCATCCTGCATTAACACCTGAAGACTTGAGACTGGGATGGTGAAGTCACGGGCCATTTTTGGTTCAAGATTTGAGACTGGATATATCCTGATCCCAATGTCACGAGTATCAAGAGAAGAGTTAGAGATAACATCCCGAACCAGCCCATGAAGGGAATACGCGGAGTATTTAGCTTGGTCGTTACGGCCAATACGGCTCAGCCTTAAAGTAGGGGTGATCGACCTTGGCTTGTGGCGTCAGTCTCGTTTTCCTCTTTGGGAACATTGTGAGGAGCAAGATGCATTAGCTTCGTCGGAAAAAATGGAGCTCAAGCACTTTGAAGCTATATTGGACTCTAGCTGGGCACAGATATCTCATTTGTCTAAGCACAATTGATGGCAGCCTAGAGTGAGTGGCGTTTTTTAGGCCTCTCGTATACTTTAGGGAAGAAAATGAAGGATGACGACGACAGAAGATGGAGTCAAATGCAAATTGGGGAGATGTATGACTGACGATCATCATCCAGAGCTCGCTCGACCTCGTTTTCCTTATTTGGCATTTTCTCCAGGCTATATAAATGAGTGAAAAGACCTTGAAGAGAGTGATCCCTCGTAGAGCATCAATAACCATTCTTCCATTCATGATAGTTCCCATCCAATCCTGCCATGTTTCTGAATACCGTTCTCTTTACAAGCCTTGCTATTGTTGGCTCGGTAGCTCGCGTATGCCCAGACGGTCGAGGCGATCATGACGGTCTCGTCGATCTTGGGTACGCCCGGCATGTTCCAACTTACACCAACACCACAACCTCTGGCCACAATGTGACCATCTATAAAAACATCCGCTTCGCCAACGCGCCCACCGGCGACTTACGCTTCCGCAGGGCCGATACGGATCTACCCCACGTGGACGGCGTGCAAAGGGGAGACGAGCCGCCCGGTAGCCGTGACTGCATCTCCTCCGCGCCAGCGTACATTCCCTTTCCCGGAATCAATGGTACCACGTGGGGGCATGAGGACTGCCTCTTCTTGGACGTGTACGTGCCGCAGGGTGTGAAGCCAGGTGACAACGTCCCAGTCCTCCATTTCTTCTATGGGAGCGCGTATAGCTTTGGGAGCAAGGAGTTTCTCTTCAGCCCCATGGGGCTGTTCGAGAACATGTTTGAGCAACATAAAGGAAGGTTTATTTTTGTTGCCAACAACTACAGGTAAGAGCTATTAATCGAGGAACCGCGACCACCACATGTGACACGCGCTTACCAATTCATGCAGGATGGGATTGTCTGGTTTCTCCTACACAGAAGGGGATGATATGGAGGCCAATGTCGGCCTGTTTGATTGCCTTGTAGCTGCGAGATGGACCTCCAAGTTCATCCACAAGTTTGGAGGAGATGGGAGGCGCATCACGGCTGCGGGCCAGAGCGCCGGTGCAGGCATGCTTTACTACATGACTACTCTGGATGGGGGCAAAGGAGAATTGCCATTCCAGAAAGTACGTATATATCATCTTCCGTGGAGCATATTTTAAAGAAGATGGGCTAACTGCCACAGCTGTTCATATCCTCACCGGCAGCTCCTCCTCGACGACGGGTCGCAGATCGTCAGCGAGAACAGTTTGACCTTCTGCTCAACGTGACAGATTGTGCCACTCTAAAGTGTGTGCGTTCACTTCCAGAACAGGCCATCTTGGACGCCAGCGACAAGCTTGTCAACCAAATGCCATCTACTGGGGGCGGTGGTGTCCTGGGGCCTGTCATAGGATATGGCCCAGCACCAGATGGCAAATCACTCCCCGATCTTCCTCTTGCGCAGTTCTATGCTGGGGAGTTCCATGAAGAGCTAGAAGGGATTATCATGGGCAGTATGGCGTATGAGGGGATGGGCACGTCGCATGATACCGACCAGCCAGAGTACTTCCCAATCATGGTTCGTCAAATCATGCCGAACGCCAGCGATGAGGTGGTCTCAACCATTCAAGCGCTGTACTACCATCCCGAGACACCGGCACAGCTCGCCTGGGACTGGACGACTGATGCCATTTTCTCGTGCAACTCGTACAACCTCGCCAACGCCTTGCCGGGGAAGTCGAGGCGATATGTCATGTCCACTCCGCCAGCCACCCACGGCCAGGACTTGTGGTGTAAGTTTCATCCCTCCCTGCCATTCAGCCCAGGACTAATCATCCTTCCAACTTTAGATTTCTTCTACGTTGATGAGGAGCAAACACCACTGGGAGAAGAAGGAGTAGGACTCGCTCGCGAATTCCAGACAAAGTTGCTGGACTTTGTGCATGGGGATGATGTCGCTTGGCCGTTGTATGGCTCAGAGAAGAACATTCTCAACATCACTGATCGGTTTGAGGAGACCACCTGGGGCCCAGATCTGACGAAGCGATGCGACACCATCAATCGCTTTGTTTTGGACCCCGCCAATGGCGCATAGAAGTAATCGCATACTTCTGGCCTGCTCCAGGAAGGTATCGCATGATAAGTTCGACAATATAGTTCGGTCACCGTGAAGAATCAGTTGATTGATATCTTTCCGTAGCAAGGTCCTACGTAATCGCGAGAGACGAATATGGAGAAGCGATAATGAGGCACGGCTACAACGGCCATGGCGACGGTTGCTGGAGGAATGGCAGGGTTAATCAAGCAACAGTCTTATCCTGGTCCTAAAGCGCCAGGGGTCGGCTGGGCATTAGTTCAGCAGTCCTTTATTCAGATTCAGTTGATGAGACTGATTCAAGTTGCGAGTGCCGAGGGATTCATACTTGAGGTATATCTTCACGACTACGCAATGGTCAGATTTAGCAAGATCCTGTAGATATTCGCATTGCAGTGATCGCAAACAGGGAGGAAGAAATCAATAGTCTCCAAGTAAACAAAGCCAAGAAGGGTGACGAAGCAACGGCCCGCCAATCCCACTTCTTACCCCTGTCTCGCCCACATCAGGCCTGTATTTTGGTGTTAATGCAGCCCGCTAGATACAAAAGACTCCACTACATGACCGGGATACCGGCTTCCATGTGCTCGAGGATGGTCTCTTGCGTGGGACTGTGGTGGATGAAATCAATCTTGGACGGCGGCCTCCAGAATCTGCTTTCCTGTATCATCTACATGCATGTGTCTAAAGCGGGCTGCCACCTCTATTCTTCCATACTATCTCTTCTATTGCTATACTCAAAGTCCAGATCGTCCGGCAATCATCGGTTCATCTTGTCTGACATGCTTGGTCTTGATAGGTAGCTGCAATCGTTCCCGGAATCAGATCTCTCGACATCACAGCTCTAGCAAATCCTACTCCAACTATATAGGAAATCTATTGAGAAGCCCTTGGCCCCTATCCTCCCAGCGTTAATACAATACCCCTTACCAAGGATTAGGGTGTCATGAAGCTCGGAACCCAGAATCGCTGTCCCAGCAGGCCTGCCTTGGTCCTCGTTGCGGTGATCGTCTTCCTGTCTACCGCTGTCGGTCTCACATATACCAATTATTCAGATTCCCTACGGCTTACGCCAAGGTACGTTGCGCTACGATCATCTTCTGATTAATTCTTTTCAACCTTGAGCACAACTCCTGGCGCTGTCTTAGGCCATAAGCAACATTTGGCCCATCTGTTTCCCTCTCTATATCGTGACTAGTGCGTATGATTGGATGGTAAAACTGATCAAGCCAATAGTACTCACCTACAAAAGCCGCTGGATAAGACTGTACTAAAAGGCACAAAAGAAGAACGCGATGCACTACGGCAGGAGTTCATAGAGAAGACCTTGAGCTCTCACATGAAGGTAGACAGCCCTAGTTATGATGCAAATGGGGAACTCGCGTCGAAACTTTCCACCACAGACCCAAAATGGTCCAAGGCAATGGGAAGCAGTCTTTGCATCATTGACCTTGATAACCGCCCCTTCACCGACCCGTACCAGATCTTTGGCCCCAAATTGATGAGCTGGGATCATCAGAAGGAGGTCCACGGGCTCTCGGTCGGGTTTCTGAACCACTGGCTTTATGGTGAGATCTGCATTCCTCGATTTGATTATCCCATACTGACGTGCTCTAGCAAAAATTCACGGCTACAAGTACTATTACGTGCAGGTCGATTCATTCAAGGATCGCCGAGCATCGTGGAAGAAGCCCTCCGTGATCAGTGAAATCCTCAAAAATCACGAGACGTGCATCTACCTCGACTCGGACGCCATCTTCGACCGCCTCGACCTCCCGTTCGAGTGGCTGATGAACTACTGGGACATCCACCCCAAGACCAACTCGCTCGCCATGGCGTCCGACCCGGACCTGAGCCACAACAGGGACAAGTTCGGCAAGCTCTACCTCAACACGGGCTTCATCGTCGCCCAGAACAACAAGAAGACGCACGAGATCCTCAGGGCCTGGGAGGTCTGCCCGGACGACGGAGGGGAGCACCCGGGGTGCACCAGGTGGCGCGTCAACATGCCGGGGAGCCCCACGGACCAGGGCGGCTTCGGCAACTTCATCCGCTACGACTACGCGGGGGACATCAAGGAGCTCCCGTGCTCGGAGGCCAACGGGTTTCCGCAAAGCCGGACCAACTGTCAGGGCAAGTTCATCAAGCATCTGTGGACGGGAAAGGACCGGGGGATGAAGTTCTTCGTCGAGAAACAGATTCCCGGGAACCTCCTGGAGCTGTTCCACGAGCAGTTCTCGGAAGAGAAGGGTAGCTTCTTCCTGGAGGAGAAGCAGCTCATGGCTGGAAGCGGTCAGGGGAAGAGGACCAGGTCTGCATCATATAGGGCTTGAGTTTCTTGAAGATGGAGCAACCTCTGCCCTTGTTCTTCCTTATATTTTACCGTCCGGATGTTGATTAGGGAAGATCGTTTGGTTTCTCGCATTGCGTTGATCTTTCGTAAATGAGGCATCACCCCCTCTAGTCTTCATTGACAGCGTCGGGTCGCATATTTCGGGATGGCGTTACATAGACGGACGATAGCTGGGTCAGCTTCTCGGTAGGGAGTTCAAGTACCCAGCCACTTTTTGCAGGCGTTTGGTTTTGGCTTGCGTTTGGAATGGAGCATTAGCGTCATGTTTTGCTGGTTCAGTTGTTAGTTTGGGCATTTTCAAGACAGGCTATACATAATAGAATTCCACGTGCATGATTTCTCTTGGTAAAAGGTGACTTGCAAACTCGTGGTGTAAAGATTGCATTTGAGATAGTCATCATACGACAAGGATTAAGCAACGGAGCAGCCTATATCTCAGCTTGAAATATCTGTTCTTGAAAGGATTCTATCCTGGTATCTAGGGGCCATGTTTTTCCCAAGCCGTCTACTTTCCTTTATTTATCATAGAGAAACGCCAGTGCCTTCTATCGCTCAAGAAAATCAAATCGCTACAACCAATGCTTTTCTCCCGACCTGTACGCCGAGACCTGCAAGAAAACACAAAATCTCAAGCTTCTTCATCCGCCCAAACCACGATGTTCTCTGGACAATCAAGCAGATCAGCGAAAAAGGCCGTGATGGTCTTCTCACTATAGCGCAGGCTAAAGTGCGTCAACACAAATGTCGTCTTGGGCCATTTCCGAATAACCTTCTCCAGGTCGGGCCAGTACGTGTGCTTCGTCTTGACAGCCTGCTCCCTGTGCTCCTCGAGGAGGAAGCTGCACTCCGTTATCACCACAGGTATACCGTTGCGCAGCCACTCCGGCTCCGAGGCGAGGGTCTCTGCCGTCGTGTCGCCCAGGAATGCGAACATCGGGGTGGTGTGTGGTTCGGTTATCTCCACTCCCGATAATCTCAGCTTCTTGAGCTCTGGTCCCTCGACGGATGCGTACTCGGGCTTGAGACGGTTCGTCGTGGTGTTGAAGACGTATCCAACGCAGGGGACGCTGTGGTCGCAGTCAAACACAGTGGCGGTGATCCCCTTGAGACGCCGGAGCGGCACAACATCCCCGTGCCGAACTCCATGGGTGTGGTGCGTGTTCAGGTAGGCAGCCTCGCCCGGCGTCCGCTCCCTGTCGTCGGGCTCACACACGTTCGAGGTGTGCCCGTTCATCTCCATCCCGTACTCCTCTGCATCCTCCGTCTGGATAAGACCTCCCAGGTTGAGCATCGTGTTGGAGAGGATGAAATCATTAAAGACCTTCTTCATGCCCGCCGGGCAGAATATGTCAGGTGGATCCTCCCGCTTGACAAAGGCCGGCGACAGCAGCGTGTGGTCGTTGTGGCCATGCGTGATGAAGACATGCTTGGGGCGGTGGCGGTTGACGACCAGGCCGGCGTCGAGCAGGAGGTTGAGCTGGGGGATGACGAACGAGGTGTGCCAGGCGGCGCGAGAGCGGCCTGTGAGGACGTACTGGCCGAACGGCTTGGGGAACCGCCACTCGAGGACGTCTGAGCGGGGCGACTGGGGTAGAGGCGTTGCGAAAGATGCCTTTTTATCCTTTGGTTTGGACATGATGATATCAATGCTGGATCAGTGGGACTCGAAGCGATGGTCTTCCGAACATGAAGCTCAATTCGAGATGATGCAGTCTTCAGTCCTGCTAACTCCTCCAACTTCGGGTTTCACGATGAACCAGCACAATAAATATAGATGATCGCAAGCATTTGGTCGGTATTTATCTATCCCTGTCCATCTGGTAGATGCTGCACGATTGTGTGTTGCAAGAAGGCGCTACGGCGGTATGACTCTTTGCCGCGAAGCCTCACCCAGAAATTCAACCTTGTTCAGAGCTAGAGCCCCACTCTCCACAACTTCTCCTCCAACCCAGCAAGCAGCCAACAAGGCTTATTCTGTATTGAATGCACTTCCATTGTCATGCGGCTTGATGATGCATCATGACTCGCTCGCAAAAGTGAAAAAAACTCATTCTTTTCAGTTGGGAGCGGCTAGTGCCCTGACTAGATTACACCTTTCTCTCCACTCATAATTCAGGATCAAATGAGACAGAGGCCTTGGAGTGATTTATTACTGTCAATACGCAGCGTCTGGGTATATACTAGAAAAAGTTGGTTGGAGAATATTAAGGTTTATTTCACATTATGGGCGTGCCGACATGACATCAACATGTCTCAACTCTGATTAGCCCCATGAGAATGCTCCCCTAAACAATAATTTGGTTGTAGTCCGAGTCCAGGTAGTACCAGTTGTCATACTCCGATGGTCGCGCAGCGGCGGGGAGGATGTTGGACTTGGCAGGGATGTTGAAAGCCTCGGTGGCCTCGCTGCTCTTGATATAGGACTTGCAGTACCGAGCGTTGGAGGTCTGGTTGATGGCGATCTCGTTCTTCTCGTGCTCGCCCTTGCCCTTGACGAGATCCTGCCAGAAGCCGTGGCTCTCAGCAATGACGTCCTGCATGGTAGCGGCATCCTTGTATTCACCACCCACGATGGTGTTGATTCCATCACCCTTGATAACCTTGTAGTACTTTATGGTGATGGTTAGCATTGGCCACTTCCGGGGCTGGTAGAGAAGCTTACGATGAACCACTCGTGGAATTGCTGGCGCAGGCCGGGGCGGTACTTGTCAAGATCGTTGACAGCTACAAGCAAGGTCAGTTTTGCCTCTTCCTTGCGGTATAAGAGCAAAAATACTGACTGTTCACATGCTTGGCAAGAGGGTCATTAACATCAATGGCGATAACTTTCCAGTCGGTGGTTTCCTCCTGTACATCGCATTAGTAACTCTTCAACCATGAAGAAAAAACTGCATGTACGCACATCAATCATGGGCAGTCCACCAAGAACCTTGACCTGTCTAATTTCTCCAACGGCAGCAGGTCTATCGCGAAGGCACCCATTAGTTAGCTTCCTAAGCCACATGGGGTTTGAACAAAGGAGACCAATTCTTACGGGAGGCTGCTGATCTCAAAAATATCAATGGGATCATTGTCACCAACATAGCCAGTCAGGTTGTGCTTGTGGTTAGGGCTCTCCCACGTTTGGGGAATGGAGCCATAGTTGAAGGGGTACGTCTTGTGAGGCCAGACAGAGTAGACGAATCGGGGCTGCTTCTTCTTATCGTCATGGAAGATTGGGTCTTTCCTTTCAGTTAGCGAGATGTTTTCTCTTAGAAGAAGGCGGTAGTCAACCATACTCAGAGGCTCATCACGCTTGGTCTCAATCTTGCCATCAGTCCATCGAGGAATCTCGGTGTAGAAGTTGATGATGGACTTGTCCTCGGAGTTGGGGTAAAGAGGAATATCGTGCCAGAAGGAAATTGGGTTGCCATCCTTCTCGAGCCAAACACGCCAGTCCTATTTGCGGATTTGGTCAATCAATTGGAGGTTCTTCTTGGTATACATGGCTCCTGGCCTATCACCATTGCTTGCCACCGTGCCCCAGGAGCTTGGGAATGAGCCGGCTCTACGATTCATCAACTTACAAGGGTGTTTCGAGCTCCAACCTCTCGCAGCGAGACTGCGCTGTAGTCGAAGTCGGTGTCATTTCGGACGACCAGACCGGCGAGGGCAGCAGCCGGAGCGACTGCCAACAGGCGCAGTAGAGTGGTGGCGTAAATCATCTTTGGACTTGAAGTGGCGAGAAGGATTTGGGAACAAAAGAGCGTGTGAGAAGCCACTGCTTGATCCGAACGCAGCTGTCCGGAAGAGGGCAGCTGAGCAGTTAAATAACAAGACAGCCGAAGAGTAGACGCAATTGTTTACTTATCCGGCTGCCTGATTGAGCATGGCCCATGCTTGGTATGCGCAACCTCCATCATACCATCCTTCCGCAGGCCAATCTATCGATCGCTAAATCGGGGAAGTCTTGTCTGGGTTGCTGCGACGGTGCATCCGAGACGGGTGGTAGGCTCCCAGCTAGCATGCAGTCGTATTGAGTGTTGGTGGAGCGGGATCCAAGTGAGGCTGGTGGGGATTTGGAGAACTGAACTGGAGCTTCTTTGCCAAGCTTCAGGGCCTTCAGCGGGTTCGCCCCAGCGCCCCGCCACTATATCCCGGCAGGGCGATGTGATCCAAGCCAATGATGGCCCAATCCTCCGGGCACGTGTTCTTCTAGAAGTCCTATCGATCTCTCTTTAAACCATGGCAATTCAGCCCATGAGTCAATTACAATTGACGTAGGCCGGAAGGCACGTGGGGGATGATCAACCTTGTTCATCAATGTAGCATCCGCGTCTGCTGTTTGTTGCGGCACTGAGCTGACCTCAACCCAGCAATGTGTCGTAAGACCAACCGATTTATGAACGGGCACCAGGAGCGACGTCGGAAGGGACCCAGATGAAGACAATATTGCTTTGGTACATCGATGCCGCGACGGCAATACCGTCTAATTCCCATTATCCCGAACATCCGAGTCACTTAGTTGCTCGAGGCTCCCTCTGTAGCCACGAATAGTGGTCATCGAAGCACGTGTGTAGATGGCGACGCAGCCCTTGTTGAAATAAGCAGGAGGTAATCTTAGCTAGGCGTCGGTTTCCTTAGCCGTTGCGTCAGCGAGGAAATAGCGGCAGTCTACGGTAGCCTGTGAGGCCTCTCAGATCGTGAACCTAAATGGAAATAACTCTAAAATGTTTTGGCTGATGCTATATTAGATTGCTGCTTGTTTCAACTGGAAAAAAAAAACTACCGTCTAAGTATGGTGACTGGGGATCACCTTTGAGGCAGCCACAAGTCAAACTTGCTTTGGGGCGTTCGCCTCATATTGAGCCTGTAAGGCTGTGAGCCCACTGTAACCACCTATTGAACCCCTGGAAATCGCCAGTGGTGGCCCCAAGAACGGCTAACATAGACTACTCCTCCCATTGGAGACCTTCTCTTGGCACGATAACCTCTTGGATAACATTATGGATTCAAATTGGATCTGCCTATCAGAAAGTTGGCGAGGCTCCCTCTTAGTGTAAAGCTAACTGGACGTAGTTTCCGAATTTACTGTCTTATCAATTTCTGCCCCTCGAGAGAGGATTGTCCCCCACCCGAGAGAGCTCCATTCCGATGGATTCTCGCACGCTTCCACATAATGCTTGAGCGCCAGCACCAACTGGGCCGCCCATCTCTCGTAGGTGACGAGTCCGCAGCCCGTTGCGAGCGGCGTCATGAGCAGGCTCGTAATCTCCGTCTCTCCCTCGGCCGCTCGCCCTTCACGAACGTCGCGGTTGTGGTTGTCCACCGCACATAAGAGGCTCCAGATGCACTCGTACACGACCTCCCGATCCCACCGCACGTCCATCGGGACCCTCATGGTAGGGCACAGGGCCACGTACTTGGTATCCCACTTGTTATTGGACCTGGGGTGGAACTCGTCAGGAATGCGTACGACCGTGCAAGTCCCCGGCGGAGCGAAACCTCGCCAGCGTCGGTAGAGCACCTCCTGCGCCGCCCTCGTCAGGGCGTGGTAGTCGTCCCCGGGGGCGAACGCGCTCGAGATGGCGTCGTCAAAGGCCCCGTCGAGCCTCCCGTACGAGTTGGCCGGGGAGACGATGGCGTCGAACTTGACCGACGCGGGGAGCTTCTCAAACGAGTAGTAGTGGATGCTGTAGTTGACGGCGTCGGGCAGGGGGTTCTCCGCCGCCGCCGCCCGAAAGCATTCCCCAAACCTCCTGTACATGGACAGGAGGTGGATGTGCGGGAGTCGGACGGGATTTGGGGTCGCCATGATTTCACAAACGACGGGATGGCTTTGTGAAGAACTTCTCTTGGTGACCAACAATGCGGGGTCGAGGAGGTTGCTCAGGCAGGCAGCAGCTCCAGACATTTGCATTGCGTCGTGTTACGTGCATTTGCGGTGCACATGCATGATGGTATGCTTACTGACCGACCCATGTAAGCCTGAAGAGGGGCCGGGAAACCAGTCCAGAATGCCCAGAAACATTCGGTTTAGGATGGGCTTACCTTTTTCTTTACTGTCATCATCAACTGCAGTCTCTTCACGAACGATTTACTATCACGATCAAAATCAGCGTTCAAGTTCAGGAGATCGACAGGGATTGGATTCTTTGAGCTCCTACTATAATCATGTGTCACCATAGCATATTAATTGGCCAATTCCCGGGCCGATCTTGGTCACAACCCTTTCCGCACAACCATTGTATCAGGAACCTAAGACTCGTTGTTATTCGTGTTCTCTTCGTCCTGAGTTTTCGCACAACCTTTTTTTAAACAGCAAAAAAACGAGATTGGAAAAAGACACCCCATGCAAAAGTGAGGCTAGCCGTTGTCAGACATTGCAACAAGCGTGGGAGTTGTCGAGCGTGGTTCCCCTCAGATACCTGTGCAAAAATCATCGATGTCGAAGTGTCGGGACTTGTTGTTGGCCCTTGTCATCTTCTTCTTGCCTTCGGGCGTCGGTGCCTCGTCCAGCTCTAGATTAAATATCTCGGGGGTAGAAAGGCGACTTGGGCTAGGTTCAACCGCGATTCCAGGAAATTCAAGCTTGTGAACACTCACACCGTCAACGAAAAGCTCGGCACCCAGGAGCCAGACGGCACCCGAGGCTTCCTCACGGAATCGAAGATCATGGATGTCGAAAACCCAATGATTCTTCTTCTTGATTCCCATAATCTCAGTCGAGCCGTAGATAATGTCTGCTGGATGACCTTCAAACTTGATGGATTTGTTGAAGTTTCGGTGTAGGACACCGATGCTGACTCGAGCTACCCCTGGATAATGCTCGACGTTGGGCAACGGCCAATACTCGAGCTGCGGCTTTGGGTGGAGAGCTTCTTCCGCATGTGTCTCCGATGGAGGAGATTGATCCCACGTAAGACCCATGATTGGCAAGTGATGATTGGATTCTTGATGAGGCTGGTTGGGATTTGCGTCGGAAGTCTTTGAGTGAGATATCGCGAGAAGGTCTGGTTGTGCGATGCTGGATGAAGGCAAATGCAAGGGCGACAGCTGGTTTATATGCTGCATTCTGGGCAATTCGAAGACGCTGATCTAGCATCTGACATTGACTTGATGTTCGCTTCAATAGTCACAGGGTTGTTTCGGCCAGATGTCTATTCACTGCGAGCTCACCCCATTGTCTATGATTCAGAGACTTCATAATGGGCCTCCCCTCACCAATGAGAATTTTCGTCAACAATAAGAAACAAAACGGCATAGACGGTGCAACAATAATGCATTTCGGGTCGAAATTCGTGAAAGTTACCAAGCTGCGGTGATTAGACGGTGGCCTTTGTCTTTCTCAGTACGTGAAACCCTCTGCCCCCTTTTTCATAGTGCCGGAATCGGCGTGATCGGGATCTCTGATGGGATCAATCCTACATACTGCCGTAACAGCTGTGCAATAACCAATGCGGACATCCGCCTGTGATCAGAAACTTCTGTGTCTCCAACCCAGATTGAGATATGCCCGCAGCATGTGCTCCCGTTGCTTTGCCAGCCGGACTATCAATGGATTTCTCTCATCGTATCTCTATACGAGTCTCGACTTTATGCACTGCTTCCGTTTCTTCTTAGGCAAATGGAACAATTCCACTTCATAGAACTAGATTGAAGCAGAGCTCATGAGCATCTACCCATATTGTAAAGACACAGTAGACGTGTCACAGACCCAAAAATAAAATATCATCAAACAATGCTAAGACCACACTTCAGCGATATTGAAGATTACTTCACTTAATCCAATACCAACAGAAGCCAGCCGTACAGGCAGAAATTTCTTGTAAAACCCTGGGCAGATGAAGGAACGCCTGGTGTTGAAGAGCCGACATTGTCGAGCAACGGAACCTAGATCATTCATGAAGAATGAAGTTTCAAGAGGGGGCCCCAGATTTACCAATGTGCCCCCGAATCTTCTTGTCTTGCAGTTAACAACTCATCTTGGCCAAATAGCTTGCTGAAAGGGCAGTTGTCCAAGGACAGGCAGGCATAGGGTATGTCAAGTTTAGTTGGCGTAGAAAACATGATGCGGAAACCGGAGAAATGCCTGGTGGGTTCTAGAGGTACCTCCTGGATGTACTGCGGGGTACAGGTTTTCTTGTGTGGGTCAAAACAACCCCTCCAAAATCATCAATCAGTCATTCACGCCACTCCTTGGCTAGAAAACACTGCCTCACCAAAAAATCAAACCACCAAAATTCGATCTAGAGAAGTCATGAGCGGTGTTGAGCTCGACAAGCTTGCTGAGGCCTTCGCTGCCGCGGACTTCAAGTCCCTCGAGCCCCTCCTCCTCCAGCTCGAGAAGCACCTGACCCTGCGAACCTACCTAAACGGATACGAACTGTCAACCGTCGATAAGGATGTCTGGTCAGCAATTCGCAAGAGCAAGGTGGCCATGGGCCTTGCGCGGAAGGGAACCTTCGCCAGTGTCACCCGTTGGTTCAACTACATCGAGGCTGCCCACCCTGAGGTGAAGGAGGCCGCTGTCGGTGGCCCCAAGAAGAACACCGGTGCCAACTACAACATTGGACTGACCAACACTGAGGCCGGTGTTGTCACTAGATTCCCTCCTGAGCCCTCGTAAGTTTTCTACGAATCTATGGCTCTCACTCACAGCTGGCTAACAATATGCCACAGAGGTTACCTTCACATTGGCCATGCCAAGGCTGCCCTCCTCAACGATTATTTCGCAAACGAGGCTTTCAAGGGAAAGCTGATCGTTCGATTCGACGACACAAATCCATCCAAAGAGAAGCAGGAATACGAGGATTCAATTATTGAGGATGTGAAGCTTCTCGGCATCAAGATCGACCGCATCACCCATACCAGTGACTACTTCCAGGAACTCTACGACACCGCCGAGAAAATGATCAAGGCCGGAAAGGCCTATGCCGACGACACTGACCCCGAGGTCCAGAAGAAGGACCGCATGAACCGCCTTCCTAGTGCCCGCCGAGACCGCCCCGCCGAGGAGTCCCTGGCCATCTTTAAGGAGATGAAGGAGGGAACCGAGCTTGGAAGAAAACACTGCATCCGAGCTCGCATCGCTTTCGACTCCAGCAACGGCTCTCTGCGAGACCCAGTCATTTACCGATTCCCCAATTTCCAGGACAAAGAGCCTGCACCACACCACCGCACTGGGTGGACATGGAACATCTACCCCACATACGACTTCGCCTGCCCCGTCGTAGACAGTCTCGAGGGCGTGACCCATGCTCTGCGTACCACCGAGTACGCTGACCGAAACGAGCAGTACCACTGGTTCCTCAACGCTCTGGATATCCGACGAGTGAACCTGTGGGAGTTCGCCCGCATCAACTTCATCAAGACCTTCCTTTCCAAGCGTAAGCTGACCAAGGTTGTCGACAGCGGCAAGGTTTCTGGGTGGGATGACCCTCGCATGCCTACTGTCCGTGGTATCATCCGACGAGGTCTGACTGTTCCCGCCCTCCGAGAGTTTATGCTTAAGCAAGGCCCCAGCCGTAACATCGTCACGATGGACTGGACCACGATCTGGACTCTCAACAAGAAGATGCTCGACCCCATTGTACCACGCTTCAATGCCGTGGATAAGAAAGATGCCGTTCTGGCAACTATTGAGGGTGGCCCAGAGACTCCTTACTACGAGGAGCGACCCAAGCACCCCAAGAACCCCTCGGTCGGAAACAAGCAGGTGAGGTTCGCCAACAAGGTCTGGATGGACCAGGCCGATGTCGCAGCCCTGGAGCTGGGCGAAGAGTTCACTCTCATGGCATGGGGTAACGCCATCGTCAAGGGACTTGACAAGAGCACCACCCCGATCAAGGAGCTCCAGCTCCAGCTGCACCTCGAGGGTGATTTCAAGACCACCAAGCAGAAGATGACCTGGCTTTCCGAGAACGAGGGCAAGCTCGTGGAGGCTGAGCTCTGGGACTTTGACTACCTCATCACCAAGGACACCCTGGACAAGGACGACGACTTCGAGGCCTGCCTGAACCCCAACACCGCTACCGTTGTCGAGGCGATCTGCGACCCTGGAGTCGGTGAGCTCAAGGAGGGCGATTTCCTCCAGCTCGAGCGCAAGGGCTACTTCCGCGTGGACAAGGCTGCGGGACAGGGCCCCAACGGCAAGGCAATCCTGTTCCAGGTGCCCTCCGGAAGCGGAAAAGTGTGAATAAAGTAAAATAGTTATGCTACGAGGGATGAACAATGGAAATAAAAAACTTATATTCTTTTCTAGCTAATGTAGACAAGGACAATCATCATGCATCATAAATATTTCGTTGTGACTGGTATATATCAAGGTCTTGAAGTGAAGAAACTTATATACATATGCCATATAAATGACTATGGCTCAAGGTATATACAAGAGGGTCAGCTGTTACACTCCAGTAACTCACATCGTATCACAGATGCTATCTCATCTACGGCGCAGCCGTCGCAGCAGCCAGGACGCTGGACACGCTCGTCCACGCCGGCTTCTTCGCCAGGTTATCATCATACAGCAGCGCGGCGCCCTGCCCCGGGAACGTATCCGGGATCCAGCTGTACTTGTCCGTGACGCCCCAGACGGTGACGCCGACGCACCCGTCCACGTCGAGGCACGAGCCCACGACGCTGGCGAAGTCGTTGCCCTGCGTCACGAGCGCGCTGTCCGAGGGCGGCAGGGACGAGTGGCGGATGTCCACCTCGGTGTAGGCGACCTCGAGCCCCAGGGCCGTGAAGCGGCGCAGGGCCGTGGCGAGGGAGGACCGGGAGGGGGTGGACCCGACGATGAGGTGGCCCTGGAAGCCGACGCCGTCGATGGGGGCGCCGGCGGCCTGGATGATCTGGGCGGCTTCGAAGACGCGGTCTGTCTTGGCGCCGTTGTACTCGAGGTTATAGTCGTTTAGGTACCTAAAGGAGGGGAGGTTAGGTCAACAGGTTGGTCAAGAAGGATCATTGAGCGGGGACCAGCGTACAATTTGGCAGAGGGGTCGGCGGCCTTGGCTGCGTTGAAGGAGATGGCGAGGAAGTCGGTGCCCATGGTATCATAGAAGACGCTGCTTCGCCAGTTGCCGCTGTCGTCGGCGGCCTCGTTGACGACGTCCCAATGGTGGCAGGCGCCGGCGTAGTGCCCGACCACGTTGGCAATGTGGGTTTCGATAATGCTCTGCAAGTCGCTGTATGAGAAGCCGCCGCTTGAGACTTGATACAGTGTCAGCTCGTGATCACTCGGTCGTAGATTTCTGGCAGATGCTTCACATACCCCAGTTGGGTAGCTGGCTGTGCCAGGTTAGAGTATGGCAACGGAGAATCTGGCCATTGGCGGCAGCAATCCCCGGAACAATATCACCAGAAGTGTAGCTGAACTGCCCCCGACTGGGCTCAGTGCTGTCCCATTTCTGACCGTTTTCAGGTGTCAACTGTCCGAATTCACTGCTGTCGGTGCCAAGGGATATATATGCCGAATCGCTGGTATGGCTCTCTCCAAGAGCAGTGCCGAAGAACTCGAGTCCAGCCTTGACAGCGAGGTCATGGAGTTGACCTGAAGCAGCTGATGCCACTGTCAGGAGACTAAGAAATGTCCGTGGTGAATACATGTTGATCATCCAATGCTTGGTGGACTGTCGAAGGCAGAATTAATTGGGATTGTGCAGAGGTTAATCCTGGACTCTTTATACATCTTGATTCCCTGTTTCATGTATCCTAAAGAATCGTGGAAGAGGATCTCCCTTGATCGGTCTTAGACTGCCTGAAATGAAGGTTCGGAAACGTGGTGACGGGCCGAGGTTCCTATTACCGTGTCGCATAGCCCCGGATTTCACTGTAGGCTAAATGCATCGTGGTCCAGTTCCCTTGTGTTTCAGATGAATATTCAGGTACAAGCCGGCCATGATCGTCGTCATCTTGCCTGACACATCGGT